CGCAGTAAAGAACCTTAACATCGTCATGTGTACATGCAATAATATTTTTGAGGTCAAAAGGCCAAAAAATCAAGATTTCCGCTTTTAAGTTCATTTAGGATGCCTGATGGGTAGATTGATAAGCAACGAAAGGAGTATCTTATGTGACTGATAATATTCGGTCGTGGGGTGTGCGATAGACTTACCTCCACGTGGTGCACCCTGGGCAACGTATACTCATTCGGCAAAAAAGTCTATTGACTGGCAGTTGACTTCTCACTTCAAACTACCATCACCTCACTCTATGCCATATTCGACTATTTCCACAGTACTCACCTCACCTTTGTTCTACCTTTGTGTCTGTCTCTTTTACATCTTTGAAACTCTCTTCTGTTCCCCCTCTCCCTCTCGACTTTTTAATTTGATGTTCCTCCTCCCCTCTGTGAAGCCTGAAGTCAACTAAAGGGCTAATGATAACCATCAAGACGCCTGCCATTTGATATAAATAATATTCGGTCGTCTGATTCATATATTTAATAATATTTCGCCGATAAATATTACTCAACGTCACAATTGGTATGCTTTGTCTCTGTACAATATCTAGTTATAAAGTGGGTTCCATATCGGTCTGTTCTCACAATTATTGATAAGATTCATGTCAGCTTATTCTAGTACTGAGAGTTTTTTCCAGGAATAAAGAACTATCCTTGATCCCGAACTATACCATCAATAAATAATTATCGCTAGTTAGTATTATGCGTCATGAAGTAAAAATACTTTTGCCTTCCTCATAATTAGTCCTGTAGGTCTGATTTAAGCACATTCACAGATTAATTTATATTTTCGGGGGAAATTTTGAATGGATAAAAGTGGTGCAAAATATGACACCATGAATTTTTTGCTAATTTGGTGGGTGGCAAAGTTTAGTAATTACAGGAAAGATTTGCTAAAAAGATTCTGAGAGACAGAGATAGGAATTACTTTTTATAGGGCAACTAAGTCTTATTTTGCTACAAAGGTGCGGAACATAGGGGAAGTAGTTAAACAAGGTTGAGCAAATAAAGTATAAAAATAAGAATTCATGCTGGCATTACGATGGATAAAGTCCTGAATCCTGTCCCCCTCTAGGATACCATGCCAAAGGGATCTTTGAAGATTAATCGAGCTCATTTGTAAAATAATTCACAACAGCTTAAGAGAACTTTTGACATACGTTGAAGGGGAATCTACTGGGTGGTTATATAGCATAAAAACGACTTGTTTACCAATTTAACTGGAAGTCTGTAGTCATTTTGTTTACTGTCAAAATTTCTGTGTCACCTTATATTTTTCAATATAAGATGCCTGCCATTTGATATAATAATAATATTTTTCAATATGTGAAACTAACCCGTCCTATTACTTCTATAATTCCATTGAAAATGGGGAAATTTCCATAATAAGAGTAACAATAGTTGTTTGTTTTTGATTTCCACATGCTATTAATTAACTGCTATAAATGTACACCCCACCCTTGAGTGTAATGAACTGCTATTAATTAACTGCTATAAATGTACACCCCACCCTTGAGGGAAGCTGAAGTCAAAGTTAAAGGGCTAATGATAAATATCATAAAGCCTGCCATTTGAAATAATGATTTCCACATTTAGCAAACAGTAATTATATTTCTACTATGGAAAATGTTGAATAGCTGTTCTATATCAATATATATATATATATAATAAATACAAAGTCGAATATAAGTGATATAAGAATTGTTTGATATGCATGATATGTATATTTCAGAAAGGATAACTGTATTCACCGTAGAAAATGTTTGACGATGACAATATAATAACTTCTGCCAACTGCAAGATTAACTAATGATGAAAATTTAATAATAATAAATTTTAAGTGATTAAAGTTAACGAAGTTAAAACTTGAGGGCATGTAGTTTCATACTTTTTGCAAATTTGTTCAATTTGTATCAATTGATTGAAATCTGCCCGCACAGTTCGTTCAGTGCGGCCTGCTTCGTGTTTGGTGAGTGTTCCTCTCATTTCAATGATGACTATGGGGTTACCGTCTGTATTGTGATGACGAATTTTACCACTGATTGCATTTCTAATTTCACTTTTGTTTTCAGGTAAATTTTGGGTAAAATGCCAGACTTCGGATTTGCAATTAATAGGTGACTGATGTGGTAAGATTTTCAACAAATTTCAATGATGATTTTGGAGTTACCGTCTGTAATTTGATGACGAATTTTACCCCTGATTGTATGTTTAAACTTCGGCTTCATTTTTAATTAGGTCATAATTTTCAATGCTGATGCAACACTGAGAGTATACGAAGCTTATTGCCGCACTAATAAGCCTTGGCAATTTCTTCTAATTGAAAATGCTCCCGCAATTGAACTATCACAATTCTTTAAAGGAGGAAGACGAGTTGCGTGTGAGGTGTTTATCGAATTTATATGATATCAAAAATGATTCGTTATCACTGAATATCTGAGCAGTCTTCTGCATGCACTGCCGTACTCTCCAGAATGCTTGGGTGGACAGTATTATCGTCCTTAAATTATGACATTTACTCAATTTGAAACACGAGTTATTTAAGCTGGTTATTTCTTTATTCGACGAACAATTCTTGTTTACGAAAATTTTGTTCACATTGATATTTTATTTTGTTAACCTACAATAAATTTTCTTAGTCTGTGGTATACTTTTGCTTTACTCAATTGGGTTTCATGGTAATAGTCCTTGGAATATTAGCGAACGACGTTGAATAGAAAGTTGTTGCCTGTTATTGTTAGTAATTCCTTAGTCATCGTTAAATCGTCTTCACCGCAATCGAAAATTTTCAATATATGAAGTCTATTTATTAGGATCTGGAGGTGGTGGACCTGTGAAATATTATTCTTGGGTCTAGCCTTTTTACATCCCACTGCTTTTTGCACAAATAGATGTCACGTCGCTTCATTTCTCCAGTTTCGACTCCAATTTACCATGCGGCAACCAATCATGGTTGGCAGACAGTCCCACCTATGAAAAGCAGTTTTCGAGCCACCCAAGTGGTTCCTCATTTTTTGCTTTACGCATGTACTCTTGGAGCTTGCTGGTTTGCTATTAGCTACTCTTAGTTATTTCAGGTCGACGGAGTTAGTGGCATGCCTACATGTGAGGACTGGACAGCCTTTGCAGAAAGGCTACCTACGACCTCCAGCTGCAAATGTAGTTCAGGATAAATAGCACTTTTAAATTGGGATTTAGGAAGTGCACAATACCCGTCGCACACGTGCGCATGTTCACCAATCCCTAGCTCTTAATTGCTATCATCGATTGTTGCAACTTATACTAATTTTACGACCTCCCTATTCCTACATTTCACACTGCCTGTGTTAATAAACCCACGGGCCAAGTTAAATGACAGCCTAATAATGTAACAAAGGCTGTTTTTTCGAAAGATCATTAGTCCTCTAAGGGTATATCCTCTTCCACCGAATGTAGATAGGTGAACTACTATTCAAGCACCCTTTTGAAAGACGATCACAAAATCAATAACAATATATAATAACATGCAGTAGTAAATTGCAATAGCAACAGGACCCATTATCCATCAATTCTGTCCCACAATCAAATCGGAATTTATGAAAAAGAATAAGCATTATTTTAGCAAGTTACTTATTCGCACTAAGTGGAGTTTGATGAAGAGAAAGAAAGCGATTAATAACATCATTGAAACCATCACACATCCAAGTAGTTCCATGGTTTCCACTCTCAAAATGAACAATTCCCTCAATTCCACGGTCAATGAAAGCCTGTGGGTTCTCGAAATTCCAAGCTTCGTCCAGTTCACTAGTCTTCCCCAGATTTATAGCCCAGGCTGCGGCTAATTGCTTCATCATACGTGGTGGCACTAACTCATCCTTAGAGCCAGAAATGAACAAGAATTTCAAGTCCTCATCCAAATTGCATTTCGACAATTTTTTCAGGGAATTGAATCGATTGTGAACGAATGCCGTAGGTAGAAGAAATCGCCCAATTGAGCCGAACACACTGCAGAATATAGACCGTCCCATTCCGGGGATAGAAGTAAAAGTATTCTCCAGAATAATTCCCCGAACATGAGCTGATAGCCCAGGTTGGGTACACAAATCGATAACAATTGCACCCCCTAGTGATCTCCCGAAGACAAATATATTTTGACCGTCGACGTCGCCATCAGCTCCTGAAGCTAAGTAATCAAGAGCAACTTTTGCATCAGCACAAATGCCAGCTTCATTCACCTGACCATTTGAATATCCAAATCCCCGGTACTCCAGCAGGAAGACATTGGCTCCACAAGCATCATAGAGAATTTTCGCCATAGGTAAGCGATGACCGATATTTCCGGCGTTTCCATGGATGAAAAGGATGGTCGGAGCGGTTGCTCTTTTAGAAGGATCTTCTTGAAGAATAAGGAAGGATTTTAAAGTGACTTCACCGCCACTTCCTAAAGATGGTGACTTGAGTTTAACAACCCTCCATTTGGGAAATTGTGAATCTTGGGGCATTTCCACGTAGAATCGACTTTTGTTGGGAATATTTGGAGCAAAAGTGAAGAATGTTTCAAGAAAATACACAAAAGAGACGAAAAACATGAGCATTAGAAGAGTGGTAACTAAGTAAGCCTGGAGTCGCCCCGATTCCGGTAAGTAAATAAGAAGAGAAGCAAGGAGAAGACAAGTAAGAGGGGAAACATGTTGAGCAAATAAGCCACGATAAAACGAGCATCGGGGCGAGCAACAAGAGTCAGAACATTTGAGCTGAGAGTTAGAAATTGTACTTGTTGAGAGACGACTGTAATGCTCTCTCATATTGAATAACATCGACATCGTTAAACGCGCTAAGCGACGAATTCGCATGTACGCCGCTTAAAAGCACTAAAAATGAAAATACTCACATACAGAGGCCTTAAGGTAATCGCGTGTTTCTAGTGCATCCAATCACAGCACAACAACGAAAAAACACAAGTGTCATGACCGTAGAGAAATGGTGTTATTGCATACTGTTAACTATAAAAAGGGCAGAGAGTAGGCGGATTCGGAAATACATATTTATTTTTGTACAAAAAAACATTCCCCATTAGCAATAATAAAAATTACACACTAAGACCAAGATTCTTTTCCGCAATGGCGTAGATTAAAAGGCGCCACATTTTGGCCACAAAAATTTCAGCCTCTTCCTCCAAAACCTAAAAAAGCGAACAAAATTAGCAAAGCATTTCCAATAAAAAAAAAACAAAAAAAGGTTATTACCATGGCAATATCAGAAAGCATTTTAGCTGGTGGCTTATGTTCCAACAATTGCTCGCAAATAAACTTGGACAATGTTGCCTCAGGTTCTCCGAGATATTCAACAATTTTCTTGTCAACCCAAGGCTTTATTCTTTCACCAACAAGATCCTACACAAGAGCCAAAAATAAAACAATGATTGGAACAACGAAACTACTAAGTAGACGCGTGCTTACCGAGTCCACAGCTCTCCAGTCGATGGGGTAGGTGAACAACTCCTCCATATTGGTTGGAATTCTCTCAATAATTTGTTTTATGATCGCCTTCTTCTCTGCAACGGACAAATTAGCTACCGCTTTGAGATCGGGATAGTTGGAACTCAGGCGCGAGGTGCTAACCTTCTCTGATGCAGATGGAGGCACAAAACTCAAAGCTGGACGTTTAGACTTCGCCTCTACCTCATCATCATCAAATGCCGCTGCTGGCTTGATTACATTATCGTTTGTCTCTGAAGCAAAGGGAATATAAAGGGGTGGAATTCATGAAAGAGAATAACCAATACCAATAAGTAAACTTACTTGAAGACATGGAGAATAGGAAAGTGCTCGAGTCCTTTCGTGGTAAATCACCTCTATTTGCTTCCTCCAGAGAAGCACTCTCAGTTATTCCAGACTCTTTCTCTGGAGAAACAGGCCGAAATCCGCTGGAACTGACCTTGGGTATGTCAATTGAATGAGACTCAGGAGAAGCATCTCTTGAAACAGAGGAAGAAGACTGGGAAGATTTCGGATCAATATTTAGACGCTTTTGCAGATGCTCTTGCATTGCCTGTTCCATTTGGAGAATAATCGTCTCAACTTCTGGATTCTCTTCCTCAAGTAGCTTCTTACGAATGGCTTCTAATTGCTCGTGCTCTTTCTGACGGTCCCTTTCATCAGCCGTCTCCTCAACCTCACGATCTGTTAGCCTACGCTGAAGCGCGCTTCCCCTAAAAATCAATAAAAGCACTAGCTGAACAAACTTGAAGACAAACTATAACTTCTGACAAAACACTAATATAAGTAAACTAAGAAGAGGGTTAGTAGTATTGCCCCACCTACAGGGTTGGAAAAAATGACATCCAGTGATGGCTCGATGAGTTAACACATTGCCACATTAATAGTTCTCTAATCAGCTATTTTTCTTGTTTTGATACTGTTACTCTGAGAGACTCATTGTTCCAAGAGACACTGTAACGTCAAATTAAGAGATAAAAGCATATTTGTATGCATAGAGTGACTAATTGCTATAGTCAGAAAGTGAATTATCCGTGAGAGGGACTCTAGGATAAGGTAAACTCAACTCGAGTCAGGTGATTACTTGCTAAAAGTTTAGCTCACACAGCATAATAAAAACGGATTAAATAATGAATAGACAACTTATTGACATCAATATTCAAATATAAACTTTAATACAAACCAGAATAAACAGTATAAACAACTTTAGAACAAGCTAGTCAGTTAGGACATTCTCCCCAATATCGCATGCATTTGTAAAGTAATGAAAACGGGTTATATACTACTAATAGAGCTCTAGTTGAACAATCAGCAGATAAATCTTTAATTGTATTGATTCGTACTGACCTATTGAAATAAAGACAAATTGTCTTAAAAACCATTAAGAAAAGTTCTCAAAGTATTTAACAATGGAAATTAGAAACAGACAACAAAAAACTCGAGATCTACTACTACAATAAAAAGGTACTTTGACTATCACACCATTGGGAGTACGTCGACAAACCTCGGTTTTATGATCTTAAATATGACAACCATGCAAATTGACAAATATTACTCTAAACAATAACATTAATAAAACTTCGGACGAAAGAGAATAACAGAAAGACATAAACAAACGGCAATTACTTGTAGTACTTAGAATCCTCAACGTCATCGTCATAAGCAGTGAGAAACTCCAACAAGTTCTTGGCTTCTGATTGCATATACTCTTGTTTTTTATTATCGCGCTCAGCATCGCGTTCATACTCGTCATGCTTCTTGCGTTCTCGAGCTTCCCATTGACGAAGGCGCTGCAGTAAATAGATATATAGTAATAGCTCATTAAAATTGATTGAACGGTGATTACATCAAACCGGAAATAACACATACACTTTGATAAGACTCCTCTTTCTCCTTAAGTTTTCTCTCCAGACGTTTTTTGATGGCTTCTTCTTCTTCATCAACAGATCGACCAGAACGGTAGTGTTTATCAGAGACTAAGGAAGAGCTAGTAATACCCCCGCGTGGACGCTTTTTCAAGGGCTCCCTTGAAGGTGATCGTGATCTAGAGTACCGACTACCGCCGCCACGTTCAGAATCACGATCAGATCGGGTAGCTGTTGCAGTACGTGAGGATGAGGAATAGCGAGAAGTGTAGAAGTCCAAATCTCGGGTTCGTTTATTTCGATCCTCAGCTGGCATTTCCTTCTACATTAACGAGTAAGAAAGTGTATTAAAATAGCCAACTGAGGAACCAAAAGAAACAACAGACAGAAAAGCAAGGCAAAATAATGATGTATACTGAGTATAAACTGTCCCGTTGAAATATACCCAGTTATGATTGAATTGATTGGGAACTCACCGAAACCTGAATAAAACGACAAGTGGGCTTTTTGATTGAAGAGAGAAATTCACGAAGGTCTGAAAGAAGGTCATGTGTGACTAACACTGCACCGAGGTCATTATAATCAAACTAATACTTGGACCCAAAAATATATACATTCATACTCACCAATGTTGAACTATTCATCATCATCAAGCGACTGTCCTAGCACCTCTCAACCATTTATCCATGATTCTGTGGTTAACACTCTTTTATTTTAAATGCGTAAAAGTGTAAAACTGAGAGCTTACAGACTTGTAGAGCGTTCCCCACATTATATCAAACACTTGAATCGTCGACAGAGAGGATAGTTTAAGTTACAGGAAAAATGGAAGCTTGAGACACAAAAGCAAAGATCTTACCTCATTTCGCCGACGAAACGTCTCAATTTCTTTATTGATTAAATCCTTACGTTCCCCATCTATATCCAGATCATCAATGGTCTATAACGCAAGCAAAAAAAAAGATGAATAATGCACGCACAACCCCAGAGCTGAAAAAAAATATTCTGCACTTACCAAATGCCTAGGACCCTCAAGATACTCAGTCCTATTAGGGGATTCTATGAAACATGCGAAATAATAAAACCAGCAGCTTACCATGACCAAGTTGATAGGTATCAATGGCCTCTTTTAAGATATTTTGAAGTGCCGTTTTGACAACTTCATCATCTTGATCTTCTTCATCAGTCTGTTTTTTACCATCTATACCACCCTTAATCTTTTTTTGATATTCCTTTAAAAGCTCCTCAGTTTTAGCATCAACTTTTACCTATACGATGTCAGATTATAGATTAATGAACAAACCATCAATTTCTTTTCCAGAATTTCGAAATTATTTAAAAGCCGGACACATCTCAAAGTTGATTCTGGACTTTGATATTCGCAGAAACCAAAAGCCTGATAATTTCCAGAAGCACCTTGAACTCGTTTCCAACTTAAGATATTTCCACAGCGCTAAAATTGATAAGAAAATTATAGAGTCTAACCATTAAAAGTGCTTTGATGACAGAATCTGGTGCCCTGTCTGGAATATTTCCCACAAAAACTGTTGTCACTGGAGTTTTATCTTGGGTAACAATGACTTGTGTTACAACAGTAGCTGTAGTCTCAGGCTTCGATGTTTGAGTTGTAGAAGGCTGTGAAACAGTAACAGTTGTGGCTGCCGTAGGTACTGGTGCATAGCCCATCAAATTTGGAGCAACATAAGCTGGGTAACCTGGTGGAATTGCCCCATAATAGGACTGAGGAACACCGAAGAAGTTACCATAAGGATTCATCAAAAATTATTGCAAGAAATGATGCGCCTGATAAAAAGGGTTCACTTAAACACAAATTATTTTATTTAAATTGCGATTGCAGGCATCTTTAGCACACGTTTTCAAAAATTAATTTTATAATTTTATTTAACATTATGTATTCAAAGGTACACTTTTCTTCCCGTACTCTTTTTAGAAATGCAATACATGAATTCTGTAAAATTTGAAATATTGCATTATGATTTACCTTTGAACGATTTAATCTATTTCCTAAAACAAGGCAGCTTATTTAAATATTTCATTGTTTTCTGTCACTTACAGCAATCCTGTCATTCTAAGAGAGTGTGCCAGCTAAATAGCTTCTTTTAGCTTTAAGACCTAATAGGCATTCTTGAAATTAACAATTAAAAATAGATCAATGGTCTCGCGTAAGTCAAATTAAATTTATTCTCTTGGTATGTAACAAATTTATAAAAGACAAATTGTGCCAATCGATTAATTACTCTTCATCTTATTCCCATACACGCTATTTCTAATTGTAAATCAGAATTTATAACTATCTCATAAAATACCTGTGAAAATTGACGTTCGTGATGGGCGTGGTATTTTAAATCTACACAATTAGACAAGCCTACTAATAGGACCATTGACTGTATGTAGTTGGCGTAATATGTCCGGTTATATCTTATCTAATGCATGGAAACACTTAAATGCAATTAAGCAATAATTTGCTATTTGTAAACAGCTTTCATTCACTTTAGTTTACATTAGCTATATTTTTAGAAAATGGAAATCTAAATGTATATAGATCCTTTTAATGGGTTTTCTTTAAAGCACCGGTATGTTCTGAGTATGAAAATTAGATGTTGCGCATCGCTTCACTAATAAATCCTAACTTATGCTCAGTAATATCTATCACAAGATCTCCCTGTATGAAATGGCTCTCGGATGGAGCTATCCTGTCTCAATTATATATAGTAACCAAACGTGTAATATGAAATGAAACTGACATGTAATTTATTTATTAAATACTTTCTGGCTACGGTGACCCATATATAGCTATTGATTTGTCGAGGGATCTCTAAAGTTGTGACCTCATTTGCTCCTTATCGTGTTTGCCATATCGTTACTAAGCCCCACCCCTCCCCGCCAACACTTCAATTAACCAACGCCATACTTTTTGCAGGTCATGCAAACTAGCATGTTAAGCGTACAACTGATTTATAAATAGGTTTAAAAAAATTTAGAGTTCCGAGCAATTTACTTGGTATTTTTGATGTAGTAAATAAGATGTAAATATAAGCAACTTAAGTAACTGGAGCCGGAAGTTGCATTTATTAAGGAGACTTCAATGAGGCTACATTCGATTAGGAGATGGGAAATTCATCTGAATCGGTCTCTGCCCAATTAATTTACGAGTGCCTGCTGGCCCAAGTACCAAGACAACTAATTTCGACAATTCCATTTCATAGGAACTATGATCATAAATCGTTAATAGCGCTACTTTGAAGTAACTGCACAGATGACCTGTTTTCAACCTTCTTCGAGTCAAATTTAGCCTTAAGATACAAATGTGACCAACTAAGATTCATTAAAGTATTAAATAAATCTACGTAACTCGTGCTACAAAATGTAACCGGACTGAATTCTATGTTATAGTAACTTTGAAACTTCCTTGCATGTTAGGGTGGCTTAAAGGAGTATCCAAACCAAGAAGTGAAGTGCTTGCCTTGCACAAGTTTATTCAATTATAAACTCCCTAATGGATAAACCTACTTTTATTCATATTTAGGGAATATACAAATGTCTTTTGACACTCAGGAAATGCCGGCCCCTTAAAAAATTCCACTGAATACTTTATTTAAAACTTCCCCTCCTGAATATAAGTGGATCTAGTGATAAGTCAAAGGCCTAGAGCCCAACCAGTTTGCATAATTATGCCTAGCTGATGATCTTCCATCGCCATTGGCAGCACCCGGTGGCCAAAATGAATGAACGGCGATCAGATGGGTTAGCAGCCTTCACACACTGATCTGTTGGCATGAAATATCTATTTCCTATTTGCCTGCGGTCTATATGACCTGCCTAGAATAATAATATGTTTACGATTAGATATTGTATGGATTATCGTGTCATTTAGACCTTTAATATTATTATCGGAATAAGCTGATCACACAATAAGGCTTTGTATCATTATAATAACTACTACAAGTAATTATTGATCTTTACATTAAGTAATAATAGCAAAAGGGTAGGAGAGGGGGGGGGGTATGGAAACCAAATAATAGACCATAAAATTTTGCAATCCGCATATTATTGTCATTCATTTATCGGATGCATAAAAAACTATACAAAACTAATAGTAATACACATTCAATACCAAGGAAGCCAAGTGGGGTCCATACAAGCAAGATTTTCATACGAACACGAGGCGTTGATGATGTCATTCACAACCTTGTCACCCGTAGAAAGTACTAAAAAGTGAAAAAATACACGATAAGTACTGACCCTGCGAATACAGATTTATGTACGCGCCAATCTTTGTTTCCACTGAAGTCCTCTCTGCACCCATTTGAACGTTCACAAGACTCAAGTTTCATACTCGCTTAGACGTGGATCGGATATGTTTTATATATAGCTTCTGCTAAATACCATCAATAAGATGTCATAGTACAAGAACCACGCAATCCCTGAGGCAATTTATCCCTTTTACCTTTCGGTAACTGATGTTCCTTTCGACAGACGTCGACTTTTTCTTGACTTCTACCTTACGAATCGTAGTAACTTAGTGAAGTCTCTAGAGGGAAAACGAAATCCTGTAATAGAAAATGCAAGCTCAAGACAATCTGGATTCTTTCACTGGGTCTAATCAACCCCCCCCCCCCCCCACCCGCGCCTCACTTCTCATTGAAGAATTTTGCCATTTGGCCGCTTACGCATGACAAAAAGTAGTCGCTTTGCTAACTGATTAATAAGGAAAAAGGAGTAAAATGGCCAAACAATCTTACCTTTATTTCTATGCCTGAATGCTTCTAGAGAGAGGGTAATTAAATGCATGAGGGCAACATTTGACAAATCGGGAACATAGATAGGAGATCCGGTAGTTGAGGCCATAAGAGCTTCCTCATCATTTTCAATAGCGAGGAGATCAGCAAGCAAACTCGCGTGAACAGCCGCTTGTCTTCCTCTATGCCAGAGAATGAAATCGTCTCGAAGAAGAGTTCGTAAACAGGCCGCAACCTTCTGAATTTTCTGTCCAATAGCTTGATTTAGCATTGTCATGGCCGCGGAGAAGGGACCAATAGTAGCAGGAACACCAGGCAGACAGATAAAACCAGACATTTGGGGTGTTAAACGCAGGCTAGTTGGACGAGATGGGATTGAAATTGGTTGGGTGGTGGCTGTTGATCTACCGGTAATGGGAGCAACAGATAATGGTGTTTGGGATCGTAAGGGAGCAAAGTAAGAGCTGAAGAAGTTTGCCAACTGAATGGATGATTTTGAAATAAGATCTGCGGAGGGCGATTCCCTCTGTTGCAGTTGTGGAATGTTTAGAGCATTATTGGGAGTAGCAGAAAGGTCAAATAGAAAACCTCGAGTTTCTACCCGCCCAACTCGGGGATCTAGAATAAGACCCGATGCTTTGAGTGGAGTCATAGAGAAGAGGATTTCCATAGCAGCTACGGCACCACAGGATATTGAAACCCCATTTCGGAAGAGCCAATAACTCTCCGCATCAGCCATTCGGCGGTAGGCCCAAACACGGACCACACTACCAGGGCCAGAATACTCATCACTAATAACTGGAATTGAAGGGGCAGCCGGCGAATCGAGTTTAGCTCCTTGGGGAACCAACTGAAGAAGTTCTTCAAAGATCTTCATTAGAGCGGCCTTTAAGTTGACGGACTTTGGATCAGCAACTTGAGTGAGAGCACTGAGACGTTCGAAAAAGGCGGTAATGAGCTCTCGAGATGTGAATGACCCGGAAGACTTGTCAATTTCGGAATCGATAATTGACGCTAAGCTCATGCAGGCTGCGTAGCAGCCAGTGTCAATACTTGTCGGGTTGCCTGAAACTTCCAAAGCATTTCCACGACTTCCTGCATAGCCTGTTGAATTTCCATTCAAGCTCTAAATTGATGAATATGGAATAATGGATCATTGTTTAAACTTGAAAACCAAAGCTGACGAATGAATACAACTGATATTAGAAACCTTCCGACGTACAGGTTAGCTCTTTGTAAATAGGTATTTTTAGTTCTTCTAAAGCGCTGAATATAGACAAGTATATTTAACGATAAATGACCTTATACATTAATCTGGGTTTCAGTGCAAATAATATTGCGTTATTTCAATTTCAGCGTGAATTCACAATTCAGCAAATTTTTATTGCTAATTTACGAAATGACCGGTTCGTAAGAGATCCAATGTTCGATTACAGGCGCTAGAGTTGTGACCACTACTATAATTGAACCCTTCATGGCTTGATGATCTCGTAGGTGTTTTGATCGCTTTCGCTACAAACTAAAATCGGCATCGCTTCAGGTTAATAGTAGTTGGCTCAGATTCAAAGAAAAGCAATAATTAGAACAAACCTAGCAAGAAATTAGTATTGGGAATAGCTAATTGAGAAAGACACTGGGAGCCTTTCGATTGGAGAAACCCTAATTTAGTCATCTCTCTCATCTAAAGAAGTGGGAGGTTCAGAAAACCGAGTAGTAAGCACCAATGCACAGCCACGCTGACCTTGTAGGTAAGCAATTAACTTAACCTGCAATCGATTCTTTAAAGTTAATGAAAGTGTGATAGGAGCAAACAAGGCTTAAGAGGTGACTGATCCTTGTGCCCAACAAGTAATTAGCAACAACTTCCAGTATAAATCACTCTATGAACCCATTTTCACGAGAAACTGACCTGGAAAATTACCTATTCGATAATTAATATCATGAACATTTTTGTACTCTCGGGAAGAGAAAGGGCCATTACATAGTACCAGAAGATTCTCCCATTCAATATAGGCGCCTTCTCATAAGGCCTCCTGATAAGCAATCTACTAAAGGCTAGTCTTGCCATAGCTAAAGTCCGAAAGAATAACACGAGCTGATAACCAATTCGACTTTGATCGAGCTACTGTTAACAATCTCTGGTCCTTATCTAACACATCAAATTTTAAATATTACCAAGCCCTTTGGCAATGGAATATTCATAACTCACCGAGGTGGTTTGTTGTAGGGGGGCCTGTTGAGTGGATTGATGGCGCTTCTCACTTCCTCGTAGATTAGCAAAAGCGTTTAAACGAGGGAAGTCAGCTGGAACCGTTTCAGATGCTGGTGGTGGAGCCAGGAGACTGGAGGTCAACGGGGTTGATTGAGAACTGACATTGGTTGAAGCTTGTGGATGCAACTGTTGAGCCATAAGGGTACCAAAACCTGTTACTGTGGGATTGCCAAAGGCAACAGTATTGGCGGCTACTAGGGCGGTTGCTGGAATTGAGCTTCCTGCTTGAGTGAGACGCATTCCGAATGAACCGAGATCCATAGTCCTAAAAAAGACAAAAGTAAGGATTTCAAAACTATTAAGTTGGATAATTAAATAGGGTTAGACTTTAGACCCCAACATGAAAAACTAAAAAATAATAATACAAGGGAGGAAATCTACGAACTTCATCCAATTGAAATAGAATTATTTGATAAAGCTACCGTCTAATCCAAGAAAATTAGTATCTTAAAAGGTTTCCCAAAATTAGGCTTTTTAAAAAAGCGGATATGTCACAAAAATGAGAAAAAAATGATGCAACTTACCGAGGAGTGACAAGATTTATTCTCCTCTTCGCAGTCTCATGTGACCTCGCGGCAACGAAATTGATGAATTGGAAAAGATGGGGTGGACACCAAGTTTCCCGCCAAGCCTCATAAGCAGCCAGTGTTGGAGACAAACTACAGGCCTCAGTAGGGTCAGCTGTCATTACAGAAACTCCCCTCCCCGCAGGTATTTCCCTTGGCAAACAGGGGATATCATAGTGAAACACTCTTCCATTATTCACTCTCAATGCTATACGTCTACCGCCCCCTGAGGGGACTCGAATCACAGTTGGAAGGATGTCTGTCAAGTAGAGGAGTCCAGGTTGATTACTCTCGTTCGCGACTGCATTATTAGCAGCTATGATTGGGTTAGGAGAAATACCAGACTGAGGGTGATGAGCGCCATCCTTTTGTTGTATTTGTTGATTGTAAGCGGATTGATGAAGAGCGGGGATAAATTTCAGTTGAGTGGCTTCACCTGGGAGTTCAAGTAGTGTAGCTGCTGAGACAACGGACGTGGAAGGAGAGGTTGTCGAATTCTGGAAACTCCTTGGATAGGGACTTAGGATTGATTGAACATTAAGAGAGGAGATGAGTTCAATCAAATTACCAGCACCGCGGTCTGAGAGATAGGAGACGTGGGGAAGACTGTCTACTCTACGTTCTACCATAGGTATTAACTCCTTAGAGAGCAGCGAAATAGCAGCTAGGATGTTTAGTGATCCGATGTTGCTTAGCGACGAGGAGAGAGCTTCTTTAATCGGTTTAAACCAGGGATCAGCTTCAGCCTCATTAGCTAACAAAGTGTAAGCGAGTTGGATGTTATCTACATATACAAGAGCTGAACCAGAACGATTTTCAGCGTCTTCTGTTAGCATATCTTCACCTGTAGCGACTATAGGTGGGGGTAGTCCACAATATGTAACGATATCTTGTAACTCCTTAGCCATCCAGGAGGGTAGAGGGCAAGTGATATTCTGAATAGAAGCCTGGAATGGGCCGAGAGAGGTCGCAGGTCTTCGAACAGTCCTTGACACACGTGCCCAAGCAAATTGATGAAGATTATCAAGCGCTTTGCGTAGATGATACAGTAAATTCTCTGACCAACTAGGCAGTAGTCGACCAGCAGTGAATTCCACAAACTTATCGGCAACGTAGAGACGTGCAGGATGCCTTTGACGGAGTTGAGCAAAGAGAAGATTCACCCTATGTAACCCGTCGCCAACAGAGGAAGAAAGATAACCTGTACGCACACCACCGACATCATCAAATTCTGTTGTAGGGCAGTCATCTGCAACCGTAGCTTGAGCAGAATCACCATCATCTTCATCTACATCCATTTCTTGGCCTTCAACTACAGAACTTGAAGGGTCTTTCATTCCACTTTCCGTAGATTGCGAAATTGGAACTCCTGTTCCATCGCCGAGTTTTTCACCTTCCGCTCCACGCATTACCACCACAACACGTTTCTTAATACGCTTTCCTCCACCAAGATTCTGATGAGATTGAGATTGTTGAGAATGATCACCACTCGACGAGGTCCCAGAAGACGTTGATCCAGTAACTCGTCTGCGCGCATCTTCGCGAGCGAGGTCAACACAATGCGAGTAAGCTTCATCCAAACGCCGGCGTTGGTTAGGTGAAAGATCAGTAAGAGCAGCAGCAATACGCCGATCCCTGTCCATCTCCGTTGCTAGCTGATGTTGAAGACCCCGCAGAATAGAGGAAAGGGCAGTTGGATAGGCAAGGGCAATTCCACGAAGGGCACTAGAGATAAAACGACCCTCAGGACGTAGGAGACAGACAGCAAGACTCGGGAGCCAGGGTAGGAAGGCATCAGGATGAACACGGGAAGCACGCTCCTCGAATGTTCGAGCGAAGCGTTGGGTCTGGGAACCTGTTGATGTGCCAGAGGCTGTGGAGTGACTGACTGAACTGGTTGGTGAATGGGAGGTTGTTGTGCTGGAACTACTTGAAGAGTCTCCAGCGTCGTCGAGAGTCAGCAACCAAATGCACTTGGCCAAATCGGCGTGCGATTTTCGCTGGACGGTGCCTGCTACAGTGGCTGCTTCCATCAAGGCTTGCATCGCAAAGATACCAGTGGTCCCAGTATTTGATTCATTCTTTTTACTATAACGAGAAAAGAAACTTCAAACTTGGCAGCACTGGATCTAGATTTTGCACCTAGATCAACTCCATATTTTAGTTATATAAAAAAATAGATAGGGCATAGAATAATCCGCTTAAATATTATTTAAATATAGATGAAAATTTCAAGCATTTGTAAGGGGGAAGCTTTAAATTCAAAAGAACCGAATTCGTTTAAATTCGAATGAGATGGAGGAACGCGAGTGGATGTACAATCTACAGATAACCACGAGCAAAACGCAAATACTAAAGCGTCCACTTGGTTAGCGAGTATAAGGCGTAGCTTTAAAATTCGAAAAAAGAGGATGGTTGAGGAAATTAGATAACTGTTTTGCTAATTATACCCGCATTTCACATACATGACGTTCTATCAAAGTCTTCTTCGAATGCTTAAATTTTGCAAAGCTCACGAATGACGAGAGCATATCCAACTGAGGTCAAATATCGTTCAAAATGAGATTTCTAGAAATATTACAACTGGTAATACTGAATTCTCACCTGGAAATGTTGCATTTTAAAATTCACACATCTATTAAATAAGCTCTAGCTAAACTAAAAATAACAAACGCAAGTCAAACTAGCATCGTAATCAACATACAAGATTGCTAAAGCAGAGGCTACGAGTTCCTTATAAGGGCGACTCCAAACAGTCTTCCTCTCCATCTCTCCCCCCCCCCCCCCACCCCCTCCCAAAAGATGTTAAGGGGCGTGAGTAGAGATGAAAGCAGATGAAATTATACCATATGTATTGAGGCTAAAAGTTAACATCAATTTATTAGCTTTTCTGAAATTACCTCATTGGAACGCCTCTAAAAGGAGAGAAAACGCTCTGGTAGTGATTTATAGAACTAAAATGGACAATGTGCTCAGCTCATCCATTATCGTCACCTCGTACACGAATGAATAAGGGTTGAAAAAAAGTAAAGGAAGCATATTGTGCGTGGACACGTTGAATACATGCGGAAAAAGCAATCAAGAATTATTCCATAAAATTTATGGATAGACAAGATTTATTAAAATGTCAGCCATGCACAGATGGCCTAGTCATGACTTCCAAAATGGGCTAAAATGTTTGTTTGACAAGCGAAATTGGGACACATCAGAGAGCATTTAGGACTTAGAATGATCAAATGGTAAATAATACACTAAAGAGTAATGACAATACGAGTTCCCCAATCAGAAAATTTCACAATTACTAGAGTTCGCACGTACTTACCCTTAGTGAACTTGAAAAAGAAAGAGGTCATTCTATGATCGGATTAATGTTAATACGACTAAATGGTAAGCTTATAGGCGGGAAAAATGAAAAACAAGAATAAATAAAGGCCTCCACATACCTAGTTCGAGCAGATGTGTAGACAGACTCGAGAAAATCTCCAAACATTGACCACACCTGATGTATATTATCATTCATTTGAATGGCATAGCCAAAGTTTCTAGTGGCATCGTCACCCCTACAAACAACAAAGGTGCTCAATTAAAATAATAAAAAACAAAACTAAAACAAAACTGGGTTAAATTGATAGAAAAGCGCACTTAAAGAACCCAGACAAGAAGAGAGCCTTGTATGCAAAGAAGAGGGCTTTCTCGCGCTTATCATATTGCTGGATATTTGTCTTTTCCAACAGGTCGCACCCCTCCAAACGCGACTCCTTCGAAGTGTCTGCCAATTTGATCTTAATCTCCTGTCTAGTCTTCTCGAACAGGGGAACCAAACCCGTGGTCCTATAACTACAAGGGGGGATGCATTTGATATGCCCGAATCAGAAGCAACAAAAAACAATAAGTGCAAAAGGAAATTTACTCAGAGAGGATATTTTGTGCGCATCCTAGATGTCCCATTTTACGAAAGCCCTTGGCTATTTGGAGCATTGCCATAGCTCTTTCTCGATGACAGCTAGCTATCAAAGTGTTCTACAAGCAGAGAATGTAATTCAATTTAGTAGGTGGCAAATAAGCCAAAAAATGTATGGAAAAGCACTTACTCTTTCGTGAGTATACTTGTGTGAGTAGGCACCAGAATTAATTAGGCTTTCAACAACAATCTGCCGCCAAATTAGCAGGTCGTTCCAGAATGAAAGGTCATCGCTAATGAGGGGACCGCGAGATCTGAAAGAAAGATAGAATAATTAAAACGACTAACTGTGAATACACAAATCATCACATGAAATGGATTCAAGTTCTAGAAATCGAAGATTGTATTCGTAATGAAGGGAAAAATTCTGCTCTAGACTAAGACTTCATCACATTAAAGAATTTGTCGGGACCCTGAATCTAGATGCGCTAGAGAACAGCCTTCGAAGATATTAAACCTCATCATACACTTGGGTATTGGTGAAGGTGAACAGCCACTCAAGGTCAAGTTGTCGGATAGAGCAGATTGTAGTCCAAGTATTTCCAAATATTCCTAAAATGCTCTAATATGTCTTGAACCTATGTTTCCCGTTACCACATTTGGACTAATAAACTATCTGAGCTTGGTCAATCGACTAGGGAACAAACAAACATAGGAAGTATTACTTTACAAAAAAATTGTTCTTTTTTCAAATGAGCCTTCATTAACAAAATTATACCCATCAAAATCATCTCGACTTTATAAATGTTCACAGTAAAGAGCTTTAAATTGCGGTCTTTTCCCGCTATCCTGCTGTAGCAGTGAACATTGGAAGGAGATGGAAGGCATAGCAAGAAGAGTAGTTAGGGGAAACCAGGTGATGTAGTTGATAGTCTTAACTCCAAACATTCTCCTTTTTCGTTGATGTTCACCTACCATGAACACAAACCATGCATTGAAAAAAGCTTCAAATGGAATCGAGAAGTTCGCGCTTCAAATTTCCAAGAAAAAACACTCATTCTTCGTAAGACAAACGGTCAACATGTGGCTAATACGGAGCAATGCATCACTTGTGAGCTCGTTAATTTAACAAAACAAGGAAAATGTCGTATTCCACTAAATTGTACTCAAACAGTTCCTGCTTTTCGTCATCATAGGCATCATTTATATGACAAACTACCCTATCAATCCATATCTGCGATTAGGTTAAATGCCATCACGTTTACTTCAGTGCTAGCAGTAGAATTAGTAAATCTTGATAAATTTGCAAATTTCTTTATATGCGTGACTTTTGATCCTAATCCCTAATCATACAATTCTAAGCGAATTTTTAAACCCTTCTCATTAATTGAATAATTATTGTTACTCACTTTGAATTTGATAAACAAGGACGCCTATGAAAAAATAGACCAAGTGATTAATTTGACTTTTTTGGAAGGTTCAATACTTCCACTGAAGTTGTGAACAATCTAAGTGGAAATTTTACGTTTTTATTTGGGACTTATCAACTGCGTATAACATTACAGCTATGTTCTCCAAATGTGCAAGAAATACTTACTGCCAAGAGCGGAAGATGCTCTTAGAGTCATACATTGACTGAGACATAGGAATTCGACTTGGAGATGCACCAGATGCTGAGGATGTTGCTCCGGAATTCAGAGAAGGAACTGAATGTTGAACGAGAAGGAAATTGCCATCGTGAATCTCAGAGGCTTGTTGACAAGCCTGCAAAATTTCAATCAAATAAAAAGTCAAGAAAGCAAAAAAAATGTTTAAAGTGAGAAATAGCGCCACTAAACCGAGGCGTGTTGTTAATATGTTTTCTGTTAAAATTCTAAACATTACCAAATTAAAATAAATTTATATAAAAGAAAAGAATGATTACACTTAATTAATAGCAGGTTGACAGCGCGCTAAGGAATGACAGGAAAAAAACGCTTCATTGAAGTTTCGACTTCTAACCGGAAATAACAGTTAAAGGCATTGAATACAACGCACAGTAACATCTTCCATCAAAAGACAGGTTTCCGTTTAGGGGGAATTCATATAATTACTATTGCCTCTTTTTACTTTCCCCTTAGGTGAACTTGAGAATGGTAGTCAGGGAATTTTAAGGCCCGACGGAAATATCTAGTTTTCTACTTTTAACCGAATTCTACGTACACCGTCTTAAAGGTTATACTTTGAGTTAAGCACCAAGAGGAATCTGGAAGAAATCTTAAACAGCTGTCATTAAAACGAGTCAACTAAGAAGTCAAGAAAACCAATACAATGGCTGAGCAGTCACGACAAAATGTCAGCCAGATCAAATCAAGATAATCCAAGCAAAGATCGTAGCTGTAGTTAGAATCACTGTTCTTCTGATGAAATGATTAACAAGGACCTTCTGCGTGCAAATTGTGTTTACAATAAGTGAGCAGTGCTCAAAATGCCACATGCCAGAAAATCATCCGCACTTATGGGATTAAATTTAATAAAGACCTCACAAAGAGCCTTTGGAAAAATAGCGGCAACTACCCTTCCGAAATAAGTGGGCAGGTTTGAAATCTCGAATCACTTAAAAAACGGAATAACATTCTTAAAACCATTCAATTGAAGGCCCAAATGCATAAATCACCAAGAGTAGTGTATAGCTGCACGCCATAAAGCAATAGAAAGAGACTATTTATTCCTGTTAGGCAACGAATATAGTTTGAAAGTTTAAGTATTAATGAAATACCTGGAGAAGTCGAACATGTTGATTCGTGACAATGAGTGGCAATCGCTTCCATTCGCGAATAATGATGTTCATAATGCTGGCATTCTCAGACTCAATACTTTGCAGGAGGTTAGTGGGGAATGAACTAGCTCCAGCAGCACTAGCTGCAGAACTGGAGACACTATTTGCTCCACCACCAACACCAACTGTAGAACTGCCAGGAGTTGTACCTCCAGAAGCTCCGCCTCCAGCACCATTACCACTACTATCTAATCCTTGATCTTCAGTTAATCCAGCTGTTCGACGACCTAGAACTGCGCTTGAAGCAGAAATAAGGGCCAGACGCCACTGTTCGTGCAAAGGAACTTCATTGGCTACCTACAAGTGAACAGACAAATAGAATAAGCTCTAATATTTCCAACAATGACATGTACAGTGAATCAGTAGGAAGGATGGCAAGTACTACTGAAATGAATCTCGCCAATAATGCGTATGCCACTTAACTACGTAAATAGACAATACATTTTACCTACCACTTCATTAGACAGAAAAAACCGGCAACCAATAGAGGGTCCACTTACTAAATTACTTAATACTACTTAAGCAACAGATCTTTCATATTTTAAGACTTAGAGGATTAAAGAGACATTTCTGGAAAGTGTTTTCCAGAACCCATCTCAGGTAAAAATGGCAAAATAATGCATTAGCGATGAGTAAACCTGATTTTGCCAAACTTTTTAAGCCAGCCATAATTAGTGTGGTCGAAAACGCGCACCAATAAATATGGGCCAATAGGCGTTACATTTCACCGAAAAGCTTATGCAACTCTGAAGATAGGAGTGGCGCAACCACCCAGTCCAATCAAAACTAATAGATAAACTATGACTAGTTCGCTAAAGGCAGGGTTAAGATCATCCAAAAAACAGCAACTACCGGCTAATGCGAGCCCAAATTCAGTGCACTTCGTCTACAATAGTTAACGATCCAAAATATCTCCAGCCGTATAAACTTTGCTACTGAGTAGCCATTCTTAACAGATTTTAGTTACATCGACGTCTCAATATTGCAATGGTCTCTCGCTCTCCTCAATATACGTTATTTTGAAAATTATAAATACTTCTTCGCGAATTGTACCTGCGAGATAACATTTTGAGAAACGAATTAAATATTGGACAAAAGCATAGTAGCAAAAGATGTATCGTGAGGCTTTAGGCTATTATTCAAGATTTACCTCGACAAAATGAAATAATTTAAAGCTAAGATGAGTCGCATAAAATTTTGTCAATTGAGCTATATGATATTCTTTATTATACACCGAGAAACTAAATATGTCAAGGTTAACAACTTACAATGGGCAACGTCGCTATTAGGTCAGACCAGTCACGATTGCGCCAGGCCATTTCACATCGAAGTGTGGTGAGAAGTGGTGATCCACCAAGGAGTTCGGCCCCATCTGAACCCGTGATCGCTGATGCCAATGACTCCATAGACTCCCAGTCGCCCAATTTCTTCATAGCCCTACAAGAGGTGAAGTCAACAGTGGAAAGACTAGTACAAAAAGGACAGAATGTGAACTGAACTGAGGTACTCACCGCAAACTGTAGTCATACATTCGACTCTTATTCAAAGAATCACCCGACTGTATGAAACTAACAGAGGACTCTGTAAAAGAGGATGATTGCGGGGAGGATGGAGCAGATTCACCAGAGGAGTTTCGACCGGATAAAATGTTGGAAATGGCGTCGAGCCCTCGTACATACTGGCCTTGGGATAAAGCTATCACTGCATTCAGCATATCAGAATGTCTAAGGGTATATAGACAAAAAAGGGGTTCAATAACAAGGTCAGAGAATTTACTAAACTCGATCAAGAGGAAAGCTCGGGATTATCCTGTCAGTACACACAATTAGCCTAACGTTTACACTAGAATCTTATTTAAGAGACTATAAAGCTAATTCACCAATTGAAATGAATTCACACACACGGATAATTACTATAAACCAAGAGGAGACGAACAATTTTGCATTGTTAAATAATGGAAAGCGAGTGAAATCTGGAAACAAAAAGGTACAATAAAAAAAAGAAACGTTGTTCGAATGGATTTTGAAAGTAAGTCAGTGTAGCAAGTGTTACTTCAGGGGATTTTTTAAAAGAAGCTATTCAATATTTACCAAATGCGTTAATTCGTCGCTTCACGTAAAAACTCGTCTCTGTGAGTAATTTCTAAAATGGAGCTATTGGCTGATTTATAGCAATTAGAATAGTTGGCGTTGATGCCGTAATTATTAAATTCCTTCGAAAGAACAAGACAGTATGATAATTATATGTAATCAGAAACAATTATTAGCATAGCAAACGTAAAACACAAAAAATGAAATTAGCACTATCTCATAACTTTTGACCTGAAAGTTGCTATAAAAACCTGCAAGTCTACATGAAATGATAAAGAAACCCGAGTCCACAAAAGAAAGTGTTATTGTAAAGCAAGCCAGTTACAATGACTAGATTCGGGGGAGAGAAGTGTTACAACTCTCGGAGAAAATTATTGACACAGTTGTGGAATAACGAAGTGTCACGTAATTGACCGAACGTGTTATGCTCAATGCTGTAGAACATGATGGTAATTGATCTTGACAAGATACAGCTTACCTTGATATAACGCAATATCACGTCAATGGAGTTAAATCGACATTACAACACATGTGAATAAAGAAGAACTTTCGTCTTATTATTACTTTTCACTCATCTCGAATAGAAGAACAGTGTTATGGAGACTCTCCAGTGAGAAATTGCCCTTAAGCACAGTCCAGTTGGACATGAGGAACACTAGATGTACACCTATAGGAATCTTACCAGAGACCTCGGCTTTCGTATATGAATAGGTAAACTACTACGTCGACGGCGATCAAGCCTTCGTTTGCAGTTTCTTAAAAAGCTTGAACAGAAATTAAAAGCAAAAATTTACTAATAGACAGTTAACAATAATATTGCCTGACCGAAATGCAGATTTAAGAACAAAAAAGACAAGTCTTGGGTAGGATCTTCCAAGAGATTTAACGCACCGCTCAAAAGGGAATCTAAGAAGTTGACTGCGAGCAAGATTTCTGATTCTCTGAATGCCAGTGGAGGTCGAGGTGAGACGATGCCACCAAGCAGCCACCGGATAATCTTCCTCCCCAATTCGATCATAGAGAGTAAGCAGAGAAAGAGAAGTAGTTCCCAGAGGAATGTCTCCTACACTTCCATCAGCTTTTGTGGTAGGTGTCATATTAAGATCAAAATCCACCTGCGAATTGTAGTTACCGTTCGCTAAAGCACGTTGCGCACGGGCACAAAGGGATTCAAGCAAGAGAACCATATTGTACCATTGGTTAAAGTCGTTTGCGATGTACTACGAAACGAGAAAACTCTAAGTTAACAAGAGAATTTGGATTTTCAACGATAACTTTAACACTCACCATCAAAACACCATTAGGTAGAGCAGAAAGTAGATAATCTGTAGTAGTTCCAAAACTTGCAACAGCAAAGCCCAATGAACTAGGAACTCCTCCATTTATACTGACATGGGCATCTGATGTGATGAACTGATTAATGAATTTCACGAGATCTATCCGTCTTTCAATGGAATTTCTTGCATCGGGGTTTCCATTGATAGTAGTATTTAGTAATGGTACCAGTGCCGTGTCAGTAGGATTGGCCGCAACATCAGGATGTTCTGTGACATTGGAATAAGGCAAACGGTTGCACGATTCACGAACAAGGAATCGATGCCAAAGACAATGCCACAGTTGGCCAAACAGCTGATTAGCGATGGCAGGTCGTAAGTGAACGAGGTTGAGGAAACCGCGAAGAGTTTCTTTAAGTGATGACTAAAAGTGAAAAAAGGAAGTAGACAAACTCAGGAAGATGTGACGTCTTCGAGATCAGGAGGAAGTGTCACCTTTTTGATATCGTTGAAAGCGTCTGCTTGCTGATTCATCAATAGTTCAAAGGTTTTCTGGGACCTATGAGATATTATAACATCCTCATGTGATGGTTCAGCCAATTCTTCTGGTTTCAAATCGGTGGTATCAAAAAGATCGGAGATTTTGAGGGGCATGGGTGCAACAGAAGACTTAGGCACATTTTCAGATGGAAATGAGGAGAATCGAGCCTCTGTTTGAGCAATCACAGAAGGCCTGTTGAAGTCAACATCGCAAAGAAGAACCTGAAACGTACATAAATAACACGTCAAAACTCACACGACACATTAAAATAGAAAAACGAGAGCACATATGAAAGCGTAACTTCACATATACAAAAAAACCTTAGTCTATCATTTACATTCGGGTATTACATAACATAATTATGGAAGAAATGAAAGCAGATACATTAATCACTACAATATCAAGGTTGAGCAGTTCGAATTTAATCATCTCCTGAGTAAATCATAGTTTGGCTTCAGTGGAATTTAGAAGTTAACAAACAGCAATTCTGAAAGGTATATGCCAACATTTATTGAATGTACTAAAATAAAATTTCGAGAGATTGGGGGAGAGACGATGAGTAGAAAGCGCGTGGATAGATAACTAGCAAACATATGCGTATGAGTTAGTAGGGCGAGGATGGACATGAGAACAGGTATAGAAAAAAGGGGGAATTAATAGACGCCTCTAGACATTTCAAATAGGGGCTTGAGTCATTAAGGCGAGAGTAAATACCCTTTTTATAGAGAATGACTTAGAATTAATGTTGGCATTTTCATAAAGGGTCATCGTTCACACTTTGTTTATTGTTATAGCCTGGTGTTTTTTCGTGTGTAAGAAAGTATTTTTGATATCTTTTGTAGAAACTCTGCGTAGTTATGGCATTCGTCCTTCACCGCAACACCCGTAAGTGCTTTTACTGCTACTTTTATCTCCATATATTGGGTTGGCAACTAAGTCATTGCCGTTTTTGTTGACAGATTCACTCTATACTTTCTTTTGTTTTGTTAACGTGGCCAGAGCATCTAACCTATATTTTTTTCTTACTCTATGGGCTTCTAGGTTAATTAGTAAAAAATTTTTTTGTTTACTTCTTTAGTTTTGTTTTTATCCCAATTTAAAAATGAAAGAACAGGATGTGCACTTCTGACACATTTTATTGTATTACTTCCGAAAAGCCAAGAACGCATCGCAAGCACAAAAGAAGTTATGTGCCGTATATGGAGATGAAGCCTTAAAAGAAAGGCAGTGTCGAAATTGGTTTGAAAGATTTCGTTCCGGTGATTTTTCACTGAAAAATTCACAACGATCTGGCCGCCCAGTCGAAGTGGATGAAACCCATATCAAGGCCATTATCGATTCAAATCGTCACAGCACAACACGAGATATTGCAGAGAAGCTCAATGTGTCGCATACATGCATTGAAAAAAATGAAAAACCCTTGGTTATGTCAAGAAACTTGATTTATGGATCCCTCACCAGTTAAAGGAAATTCATTTGACGCAACGGATTAGCATCTGTGATTCGCCGCTACTGAAACGCAATGAGAATGATCCATTTCCGAGGAAGAACCTAGTTACTGGCGGCGAAAAGTGGATAGTTTATAACAATGTTACTCGCAAGAGATCATGGGTGAAGCAAGATCAACCAGCCCAAACAGTATCAAAAGCAGAGATTCACCAAAAAAAGATTATGCTTTCAGTGTGGTGGGATCACAAAGGAATTTTGTATTTTGAACTCATGCCGCAGAACCAAACGATAAATTCAAATGTGTATGTTGAAGAACTCGAAAAACTGAAGGATGCAATTGAAGATAAGCGGCCGACATTATCAAATCGGAAGGGTGTTGTTTTCCATCATGATAACCCAAGGCCCCACACATCTTTGGTTACTCGGCCAAAATTATTGGAACTGGGTTGGGATGTTTTGTCGCACCCACCATATAGCCCTGACCTTGCGCCTTCGGATTACCATTTGTTTCGTTCCATGCAAAACTCTTTAAATGTTCAAATTTTTAACAACGCGGATGATGTCGGATCACACCTAATTCAGTTTTTTAATAGCAAAGACCAGACATTTTACGAACGGGGAATTTGTACTCTGCAAGAAGGATGGAAAAAGGTCATCGACAAGAACGGCCAATATCTAATTGAATAAAGTTATATTTTTAAGCAAAAATTCCGAATTTGCCTTCTTATTTGAAATCGGCAATGACTTAGTTGCCCACCCAATATTTGCCTTTCTCCTCATTACCATGCTATCCCACAATCAAATTTTTGAGTGTTTTTCATCGCCAACTTTTAAAAACAAATTGCAGTCCACGCACTTACTTAAATAAAACAAAGATAACAAAATAACGAGAAAAATGACCAATAGATCCACTTGAAAAAAGAAAAATTGAGTGAAATTTGCAGAAAGCATAAAACAGAAGCGAAAAAGTGAATGAAATGGTAAATGAATTGATTATTGACATATAAAAACGTACGAAAGTTTAAGCATAAACATGAACTTTAGATAATTAAGGGAATTATCCATTTAAATTTAGCTTACATCAAAGAATATGGGCAACCAGAACCCATCTTTATAATATTGATTATCCCACGGACACGATTCCAATAGGAAGAGAAGTCGAACAAAGAGTTCACTTTTAGCTGCCGTTGGTGTATGGGGAGGTTTCGAATCCGTCATCTCACAATTATCAGTATAGAAATCCACCGACGTAATATCTGACCCGAAAAGGAAGCGATTTAAAAACTTCTCACGAATATCTGGAAGTGGGCTAAGCATTGCACAACAGAAAGCCTGCGTCATCTTTGTAAACAATTCGAAGGATTTGTTGTTCACGTTGATATACACCTGGAAAAGAAAGCATCTGGTGTAAATAATAATTATTCATAATCAATAAATAGAAGGGGAGATATGTTCACCTGATAGATGCAATCAAGTATCTCACGAGCCACATCAGTATGCTCGGACCAACGAGGATAAGCATTCCAGAGACGAATGAAGAAGGCCACTTTCTCGCGTACAGAGGGAGCAAAGTGTTCCTCTGCTTTAGGCAGATTCACCCAATCCCTTAGGATTCGAACCGCAGCTCTGAAAAGTTTAGCATCACGCGATCTCTCCAGAATCATCATGAAGTCCGGTCCGAAGGAATTTTTTCGCACATCAGCGTTGAGGACATTCAGACGTGATTTGAGTACGTCCAATGTTTGAATCACAATCTCGGTTAAGTCTAAAAGATAAGAAGAATATTTTTAAAGCAAGCAATTGGAAAAACTAGCAAAAGACTTACGACTCAAAATAGTCGAATCCTGAGCTGAATTGCCAGAAGTTTGTCCGACGACATCGATTACTAATCGATGGAAGAGCTTCACCAACGGAGAAAGACAACGATCAACAAAGGCATAAGGATTTATCTGCACCTGCTGTGTGGTGGTGAGGAGACAGAAAGCCGACTGTAGACGAGGAATTAGACCGGGCGTTCGAGTGGTACTAAAGGAACAGGAGAGAAAGACTTATTAAACAGACCTATAAACTGTAATATGCATAAACGAGAGGTAAATCAACAAACCTGTCCGTATAAGCAGTGATTGCCTCATGAATGAATTTAATGACATGTTCATATAGATCGATGAGCTCTGGGTAGTTAGTTATTTTTTGTCTATGAGCAGGTTCAGGTGGATATTTAGTCAATAGAGCCTTGATAAGACCAGCCGATACTCGAACCAAACGGAAATTAAGTGGATAGCGCGAGAGGAGATTGAGGAGAGCCCTACTAAAGTGTTTAATGTTTGCAAATAGAGTCGGGCTATCCTGAAATTAAATAACGCAGATGGTTAGGACACACGTGAATCAAAATGAGGGAGAAGACAAAGCATCAGGCTTACAAGAGTGGAGTAGACAGTACGGAGAACCTCGATAGTCATAAAAATAATAGGAGGCAGGACAACTTGAACTGGCTGCTGTTGTTGTGGGTTGACTTGAACAGGAGACTCGTCGTAGGAGAGATTTCTATCGATGAAACCCAAGCGCAAATCACAAGTAGGGCCACCCCAAACATCGCTTGCCATTACGGTTTCAATCAAAGAGAGGGATTTCTTCGCTGAGGACTCTGTAGTAGGTCCGTTTGGAGTGGGTTCCATGCACTGGCAAGCGTAACGAACCAAGAAAGTGCACATTTGATCACGAATGGGCTTTTCCATGAGAGCGAACTCCCGCTCAGAAAGCTAGAATGAAAAAAACGAAATTTACCTAGAGCTTATGTGAATGCAACTGTCTGGACTAAAACATAAGGCTGAGGACCGCTCAAATTATCACATAGTGACAAACATTCTAAGTCAACTCAGACAATCGATTTAAACTAAACGTTCCCAAAGTACGCTTGGCACGTCACTGTGACAATCCCCACCGAACCTCTTGTAGTTCCGTTTCATTTCTGTATATAAGCAGAATTGTACGCATGCAACCATCAGTAATTGGAATCACACCATAACCCACATTTCTCATTATCTCTCGCGATTTCTGATATTTCCTCAATAAGCTCCACTCGCAAAGTCACTTGCCTTCACATTTTTATTTCTGTGAAAGTCAGAAGAGGTTAATGGGATAATAACTCCAAAAGAACTACAAAACTTAGATAATAGACAGTCATTTGGTCATTCAACAACAGAAAAACTAAATTATTCACATTTCACGGTTGACAACCACTCTTTAAAATTGTTCATTGATACTTTTTTTGATTGCAAAACCTTCCCACTAACTACTTCTTCCAATCGCTAATTTTTATTCATTTGAAAACTTGGCCTAAACAAAGTATTAAAGCAGACTCTGTCTCCGTCAAAAAAAGCATACACGGAAGAGCATGGAACCAAGAAACTTAAGCACAATTCAAGGTGTAACGATCCTATAAAAACATTAATGGAAAATTGGTTAATAAAATCAAGTACGTACAGATGAATCAGAAGGATCTTGGCTCATTTGTTGTTCAAGATACTCCTTCTGTTCCGAAAGGCATCGCATGTCCCATTTCACGACGACTTCAATTATGGACAAAATCATCCGTCTTTGGTCAATTGGGAGCTAAGAAAACAAGGCATTCCATTAGGGAGTTTGATGAACGCAGTGGAGCGTAGGAAGGCAAAAAAATCGCGTTACCGTTTGGGTTGTAAGACGATTGATGGTAATTATGAGAGCGTTGATAAGAGTATGCCTGACGGGATAGAACAGATTGGGGTGTCTCAAAACTATGCCACTAAAAATTAAAAGCGAATTATAGACAATTATAAGGGATGAAGGCTAGTATGACGGGATAGCCGTCGTCAAAGAACTTACAGAAAGTGAGAAACAGATTGGACACTTTGATCATCCTGCATAGCTTTCTTCAAAATCGACGCCAGTTCCCGCTATAGGGAAATACAATGGTCATTTATCCAATACCCAAAATAAGAAGGAGCGGTGCAATTAAAACCCCTTATAAAAGAAATCTGTAGATAAATTTTTGAGTTGTACAGGATTAACCATTTCGAGGGTTATTGTTTACATTTTTTGGAGGGCTTGTCAATTATCGAAACAGCCAACAAATATAAGGGACACTCAAAGAGTAGCTAGACTCAACACCTACACTCTCCATCTGTTTATTGTTGTGCGCTTACATCTTGCCCACTAAGCATGTAGGTCAAAATCTAGTGATGCTAGTACTTAGCATGCAGCTTTCTTCGTCCTCATTACCTGCTCATTTGGTCCAGTAACCCAAACAGGAAGTAGAACATCAATTGCGGGGTTGACCATCTTTCTCACTTCAGTTTGAGGACCTTTCGTGAGTGCCTGGAACACGTCGCCTGACAGATGGCCCATTAGAGGGTAGAAGTGAAAGATTGTGTTGGCAATAACCTGCAGGCCCATATACTTCTCTTGAAGATCAACTACACCCATACTACTGGTAATACAATGCTGCACTTGGTCAGTGATCTCCTTAAAACGATAGCTTTTCACACTAAAAGTCAAGACAAAATGAGTTAGCACGGGGGGGGGGGACAAAGAGACAACGCATAACATGAAGAGAGGAAGAGAGCACGCGCGCTTACTTTGATGAAGCATCCTGCACATACGCAGGAGCATAGTACACGAAAAGGGAGGCGATTTGATAATACATTATTCTCAGACCTGTAGACTTTTTAGCATCCTGGTCCTTAGACATCAAATCGACGAGAATATGTACAAGATCCTCAGCTAAAATAAAGTAGTCAAGGCATACAACCTATTACCTAGTTACTAAATGATCAAAATTTAGAAAATCAGCGTACAATTAGGTTCATCAGGTTTAGGGGGGCTGCCGAGTGCAATAAGTCCAGCTGGATCTGTTTGAAGGGCTTGAAACAGGCAAGGTGTGATGAAATTGGCCAAAAGCTTAGCATGTGCTTCAGATGTTTCGAGATATTGTGACACTGAAGTTGAGATACCTTGACGATTCGATGTTAAATCATTTGGTGTCTGATGCTTCTTCCTACTGGGAGTTTTAGCAGCACTAATATCTGAAGCTTCTATGCGTTTCTTCATGAGAGCGACAAAGTATAAGAAGATCTCTCGACACCAAGACACCGAGGCCTCTTTAGCAAGACGTTGAATAAATCTTGAAAGGGGATTCTGTCCCACACAATGATGACGCGACATCCCAGCAACTATGCTAAATAGAAGGTCAAAATCATTCCGTCGAGTTTCCGCACAAGTCATCAGAATCTCAAGGAGCGCAGAGGGTTCAACAACGTGGCTTAAATTAGTGATGCCTTCATAAATTTGCACTCTGGACATTGCTAAATTCTCCAGTGTCTCACTTTGCGAAGCTGAAGTCATAGAAGCAGACGAAGTGGAAGGAATAATTCTCTTTCCTTCATCTCCAGTGTCTTCCAAGAGAAGACTAAGCGCAACATTGGGCTGAAGTTCTTGTAACTTAACCACAGTGAAATAGGAGTGGCGACGCCAGAAAAAAGCTGAGTTCCAGATATCGAGTAGCACCCGCAGAAGTGGATAGTCATCAGCAGAGCAAGAAAGGATACTCTGATCGCCAGAAGGGATGATTGAAAGGAACCATTCACGGCAATGGTTAAAAAGAATGTGAACGAGACGCAACCCAAGGTGAAAAGTTGATGCTTTCGTAAGAGGTCCATTGAATTTGGGTAGGAAAAAAGCCGTGGTTTCGTATACCATTGCTGTAAAGGAAAAATTAATTTGTGAGATCAAAAAAAGACCACTTGAACCTTTGAGCAGTGCGCTAGAGATGCTTGCTATGATCAGGGTAACTTCACTGAACACTCAAAAAAACGCAACTTTTACCGCATCAACTTAAAAAAGTGGTAGCAATGAAACCTTTGGATTCCAGGGGCATTTAAAGCTGTTTTTCCAAACGAATGGATATTGTGATGTCATGACTGAGTGAAATAAATCAAGATTTGTAAGATTGTTGTATCATTATCCAAGTCAAGTTAAATTTTTTAAACATTAGGCTTGATCTGACAGAAGTGGGTTTAAAAACGGACGCTGAGATAATTGTTATATGAGCATACCCCTTGGTTTTAGGGTGGGTAAAAGCGCACAATGAAGAGGAGTAGTTAGCCCATGACTTAGATGAACAAAAGAAGCAATCATAAAAAGCACTCGAAATATAATAAAATTAGAAAGTGTACTTATAATGAACCGAAATTAAGCTAGCTACATTTCACAGGCCACATATTTTAGATTAAGAAATAATGCATTTACAAATATGACAGTCAAAAAATCAGATTAATGAGCAACAGAGTATAGCAATCTCTTAATGAAAGAGGAGAAAAAAACATACGGGGTTCAGTATCCTGAGGACGAATAAAGTCAATTAAAATTGAGTTGTTCTCAATGAGATAGTCCAATAGTGGCTTGCCCTCCGGAAGTGTCACTAAATGCTAAATAAAAAAACAAATTATCAATCCCCTGAAAGAAGAGAGACCGATCAATTTGTCAAACATACCAAAATTATCCTTTGTGCATGGGTATCATCAGGCCTAGAAAATCCATTCAAGACAACTTCGAAAGCCTTTTTCGGATAGCGCACAAGGAATCTGACAAGTGGTAGACGCAAGGGGCTAGTCTTTTCAATGGAGAGTTGCTTTTCAACTTTGATCACCATACTGAGGAGAGAATGAACATACTTGTCCTTAGCCAGTGGGATAAGCGGAAAGAGTTCCATGAGCGCTGACAACATCTCCAGGTTTTGCGGAGGAGTGTCTAGGCCGCTTTTGCTCACAAAATTCACCAGGATGCTCTTCAAATGAGAAAAAAAGGGAAAATCATTCGGACAGCGAGATAACAAAATGAAGATCCTATTCTTGCTATTCATTAGTTCTTTGACTTTGATGAATGAATTGTAGGCTTCTTAAAAGGCACGGACAATTAACAAACACTCCAAAAGAAATACCAATGTGAATCATCGTTATCAGAATAATCAAGCAAAAAGGTGCCTACTTAAAAAAATGTCAGAACACGATTCATTGCTTCCTAGTTTTTTAAATACATTATCATCAAGAGAGGAAAAGAATTAGGAGGCATTGCAAAATGGAAAGCAAGATAGTGAACTTACGTCAATAGTTTCACAGAAGCGTTCACTAAAAGTGCTCGGAAAGAGCTCAGCACAGTAGGCCAATTGACGAATAGAGGCCAAACGAATATTACTAGTTTGACGGAAATTGGGCAAAATAGGTCGCACAAGGGTGTTTCGTAACTCCATGTCTATGGTAGAGTGCTCTACAAACACCTTAGTACTCTCAAACACAGACTTGTGGATGGTTGCGTCTTCTGAGCAGATACCTAAAGTGAAGAGAACAGAAGGTATTCAATATCTCCTCACATGCAATTGTTTGGTAAAGACTCTCCTCCAATTACCCTTAAACAGTGCCCCAAGAATAGTTGCCTTTTGAGCATCAAGGTAGTGCATTGTAGAGAGGACCTGAGCAGCAACTATTTTCAAATTTACAACCATTTGAAGTTGAAGAGAAGAACAAATATTTTGGGGAGGTGTGAGGCCCTTAACTGATGTGCTTTTCGAGGGAATATCTGCTGAGCTAGGCAGGGGTGCCTCCATAATAGCTCGAATATCAGCAAGAAAACGATTGTCACATCGACGGTTAGAAGGGGAGTAGTGCAAGAGACCAGCACCATGCGGAATTTCTTGACACAAGAAGTAGTTTGTCTCAAGAACCGCGATTTGTGTTGATATTGGCAGACAAGAGAGTCTATGATTGCGATTCTTAGGAGGCAACCAACCATCAATTCGATGGATATGAGGCTTTAAAAGAGTACCCAAAGGTATTGAGAGGCATTCGGCTATCACAGAAAGTAGATTTCGAACTTGACTTCGCACAATCTTTGTTTCACTCAGTAGGGACTCTACCAACTCATTCAAAACGGCATTAATTAGTGGTGTCTGTGAAATGATATCTAAAGGTAGAGATCCAGGGAGTATTGGGGTAATTTCAGGAATGTCCTTATCTTCCATATAATCATAGATAGGGGAATCGGCCTCTTTGTCTCGTATAGCTGATTTTCTTTTTGAGGTACCTCCACGTTTATTTGCGGGGGCAACTGATTTACGACGAGTAGCGGCCGATCGTTTACCGCTATGTTGGAAGGATGAAGGCTCCTCTTCAATTACTCCAGACTGTTGAGATGACTCCTGAGTGTATCGGGAAGTCTCATTTGATAAAACAAACTCGATCAAAGACTTTAAGCAATTTTGAGCTAAAGAAAGAGCTCCTTGCCCCATCTGATTGGTTAGATCATGGAGACAATGCAGTAAACCACGCAAAAAAGTTACCAAATGCTCTCTAAACCAGCTCACAGATATTCGACCTCTGAGGTGAAGAAGAGTGCAACAGGCTCCCCATTTCACATACCTAAACCAAAAACAGTAATTAGAAATTATTCAAATGAGATATAACAGTCCAAAAAAGGGAGACCAACCAAGCCGGATGATACAGCATGTCAGTAATAGCTTTTGCAAAGTATTGCATCATCGGAAGACGCGGAAGAATATCACTAACAGATGCTTGAATGGAGCCATCTTGACTTAGCACAGCTTCAATAGCCGTTGTTGCTGTACTGAAAATCTCATCCATTATAATGCAACCGGTTCGAACCAGGTCTTTATCCTCGTAACCCATTATAAAGCAGACAGCTTCAATCAAAACTCGCGAGTCAAGAGGTATTCTAACATCAGAAGTCTAGAAACAGATGAAATCAAGTAGATGACAACAAACCGATGAGTTTGGAGAAGCTGAAATCACCGGTTGGGTAGCTTTTCTTTCTTCCAATAGACCCAGAAGGGTCAAATGACGAACAAGGAACGTCATGAAGGCACCAGAATCGGGGATTTCAGGATTGACCGAGGTTGAGAGGAAAATACCACCGATAACTCGAACCGCCACAAGGTGGTAGATACCTAAATGAAAAAAGGCAAGTAGAGAGAAATCAGTATAGTGACAAACTTAGAAGAGAAAAACCCACTTGGCTTATCATCATGGAATGGCAAGTGGGAATCTAATTTCATAATAACTTCGCGGAGTATACCCAATGGATAGGGGCTTAAATGATTCATGAATTCATAGGCAAGATATCCACTTTGATTTCTGGAGGGGGTATGAACATTAAGTGAAGAAATGCAGACGCCGCGCAAGAACTGCCAAGCCCGAATTCTGCTCAAGTGATCAACAGTGGGCTCCTGCAATATATAAGACTCATTATTAAAAAGACAGGTCGTAATTACGACACATTAAAATGGAGTTAATACTTGGAGAATTTCAACCGAAAAGTCAACGAGGCTACGAATAGGTAGATCGACAGGGTGATAAGGGAACTCGTGCAACCAGAACCGAAGAAGAGGCCCACTCTCTCCACAATTAACACTCAAATTAAGGCGCTGGACATCCGAAATATCTGCTCGATTGAAACGACCTAATTTCCCCAGAACCTATAAATTAAAGATGAGGAACTGCATTCGAAAGTAGGATAATACCTTGAATGCCATCTTCTGAACATATTCGCTCTGTGAGTGAAGGGAAGTGTAGAGTCCCAGAAGCATATCACCGCGAACTTGGTAGAGATGTTGGTAGAGGAAGTCAGGTTGCATATTGTCCACACAGAGCTCAAGGGTTCGAAGACCCTAAAGAGAAGCATAAAAAGTACATCAAAGGCATCTGCATGACGATCTATGACAAAGCAAATCGGTTTGACTAACTAAGTTCTCACATTATTGGGCTCAAGAGCTGAATTTCATATTAGTAGAGTTTGGCTGAAAGGAGAACAACTTACGGGCACAGATAGAATTCCTTTAGTATTTTATAAAAATGTACAATGCAATTCGGAATGATCAAAATCTGAATTTGAAAGCAGAGAGCTTATGTAAATGTGTTAATCGGAGAAGTCAGAGGTAATGAGATTGATTAAGTAGATGGCTAATCCATAGTTATTGTGATTAAAAAGGGTTTCTCACAAGAGTGGTTTCAGGAAAACTGCTATTTGTCATAACAAAGTACTGTTTAAACTTTGCCTACTCAAATTGGAAGACTTGAAACGAATCACTGCAGTGATGAGAGCTTGGCAGATGAAGACAGTGCACAGGGTCATGTTTAGCATCACCAATCGAACTGAAGGCATTGAACTGAGTGCTTAGTATTTCTAATTACTTTTTAAATGAGGGCCTAAGTGATCAGACTCCATATTCCCATCCTCAATCTCATCTTTCTTCCAATACTTTGGATGTAGATGGTTGGCTAGAATCCACACTTAAGATAAATTAACTAAAAGCGAAAAGTTATAGGGGCGGATCAACAGTATAAACTTTCCGCAGAATTAAATAATATTAGTTTGAAGAAGGCATTTCAGAGCGAAATTCCACTATTTGCTAAAGCAACACTTACCTGATTGACAGTATTGCAGTTGATGACATAAGTGAGAGGCTCCATTAATAAGGAGAGATAGGGTAGAAGTGTTGACAAGCGAACAGGCACAATTACACAAAGTTCACCTAGAAGGTCTCTAGCATGCGTACGATGGGCACTGCGCAGAAGTCTATTTAATGTGGTTAGCATTTCAGGCAGAAGGGGGAAAAACTCCTTGTATAGACGGTCATGTGCTCCTCCGCCAATTGATCGAAAGAGAGCACGAAGGAGAGATAGATATGAGATCGGTTCACGAGCCTCTAAGCAACACTGCATACTTCCTTGTACTATCTTCCGTAGGTGCAACTACTCGGAAAAAGGGAATTCTAATATAAGTACGATACTTATTACTAATAAGTAGTTGTTTACTTGTAAACGAACCTTCATGACTTGTTCATTATCACAATTGGGTAGATTGACCGAATTGAAGCAGAATTTGAGGAGCCGCATATAAGTGAATGATACATCATTTCCGTCTAGATTTGGTAATAGTAAAGAGAATGATGGAGATTAAACAGTCTAAGCACTGGAAGAGATCATCTTGGCAACTGAGACGTAGCTCAAAACACTGGCACCCATATCCAATGGGCACCTACATCAATGCGCATATCAATGTTCTATTATAAAAGAATGTTAAGTTTTGAAGAATAATGGTTGATATCATAAGATGTAGAAAACTGCATATATTACCATATCAGTCTAGATGTAACGACAAACACGAGAAAGGAACATACACCATGCCTTCTTAAAAGGAAATTTCCGACTTAATTGTTTATTGAATAGAGTTCCCAAACAGTAATACGCCTGAGCGGCATAGAAGCAATTTACCAAGGACTGAAAAAATTTAAAGAGGAAATATTGCAGTTGCTGGAACATTAGAGTTAAAGGAAATAATATAGAAAATGTTTAGAAAGGAACCATTGCAGATATCTTCAAACACGTAAATCCAGGTTATAACCTAATTAAACAGTCTGTAATAACGAAGATGAGAGTAGAACAGCTATCTATTTTCAAATTGAGAGATCTAAGGCGCTCACGTTCTACCAGAATTGCAAAAAATTGAATCAGGTAAAGTAAAAAGCAGTCCAAGTGTTCACAAATTGTGCGGGAAACGAATTGGAGAAAAACAAGCCACTCAAGTACACTGCCCTCTACACAGAGAAATAAATATAGCTATATGAGATATGCGACGATGGAACAGTGAGCCAACGTGCATGTGTGCTGAGTCAGGGGTTAAAGCGCACTGACCGCATTAGACGCGAGCAAAAGATCAAGCAACAGCAAATAAGAAATAGCTTACCGCCTATCTTATCGAGCCGCTCGACGAGATATGAGAGAAGAATACGCCCGAAGGTTGAAGTTTGAACGGTTTGTGAGAGAATGTGGTAGGCGAAATGTGCATAGAAGAGTGGACTCTTGCGACACCAATCTACAATGAACTATTGATCATGGAGAAAATGCAAGTGTTAGGATAATATTTCGTAAGAGCGAGGACGCTTAACCTTAAAGAGGAAGGACGTACGCCTATCATGGGAGTAAAAATCTCCTTAAAAGAAGTCGCACTAAGAGGCACAAAGGTGTTAGCCAGATTCTCCAAGACACTGCGTTCCTCCGGATACTTCACACCTGAGTTAATGCTGACAGAAGAGAACACAAGGCCATTAGCAAATATCCAATTTAGTGAGATTCAGTGAGGAAATACATACCCTCTAAGATAGAGGACACCGTCTTTTGACACAATTCTAAAGATGTCCAGCAGCTTGAGACCACATACGAGGTAGTCAGAAAGGATTTGGACTTCACCTGGAGTGAGATGACTAGGAGTAAGTGAATTGGTGACAGAAGCATCTTCATCGGAACGGGAAGAAGGGTCAGAAGTATGAGGACAGTGCGTTAGGGTAACAACAACACTTCGAATTCCCGAAACTAGAACTTTAATTGTCGACTTCATCTCGTTCACACTCATTTGATTCGGGCTGAATGTTTCGATAAAAGGAGACTGAAATGAAAAGAATGTAAAACCATTAAGAGTCACAAAGGTATAGGCAATGGAATATACTAAGTAGAACACAAGTTATGGCATCAGGGAACTGCCAAGTAATGGAAATGATAAGTATCACAGTAAACGCCATTAAAATGTTCCCTATTTACCTAAGGAAGCAAATCCAGCTATCTACTTTTTTCCTTGAATGAATGCAAAAGTTGTTAAGACTGATTTCTGAAATTCGTTTGGTAATAACTTATTTAATGGATTCAATACACTCGCTATCAAATTTATTCAAAAGACTGCTCAAAGTTAAGTCGAAATGCCACATCGAGCAAGTTTGAAATTAGCAGTACTTATTAGAATTGTCGAGGTGGATAAGATGGAGATGAATTCGTTCGGGAAGCGGAATAAATCCTGAAACTTGGATTACTTTCGTATAATTCTATTGATGTCCTCATCTTGAATTTTACTTTCGCTTGATCTGCTTCAATTAATAACTATTGAACCGTTCAAACTTCAGATTCATTAAAAAATAGCTAATTGAAATTTTTTACATGAGTAAATGATCTTTCTCATCATCTACTACAATTTACGAACCAGAATTCGCAAACTTAGCCCACCTGACTCGTTGAAAATTTATATATAAAAAGGTAAATAAATAAATTTATACGATTTGCGACTTCATTTAACTCATTGGTCTTGACCAATTAAAGATAAAATGAACGAAAATAAGTTGGTATGCAAGACAAATGGACTAATTTTGAGAAAACTTGCGTTGGATCGTTTAGAACCGTTTTCAAAGTCGAATTCGTCTTCATCGTTTTTGGGCTCGAGAGAAATGTCTCCATCCTCACGTATACTAAAGAAAATAAAATTAAAAGAGAAAAACAACAGAAAATGATGCAAACTGCAAATCTACCATTTGGCTTCCAATTCCGGAATATAGCACTCTGCGAAAATGCGGCATTTTTGTACACAAATGTAGAGAATCTGAAAGAAAAGCCGACGAACGCTCGGGTAATTCGGGAGTGTTTTCGAGTGATCCTTTTCCATAACACGAATGCGCATACAATCAGCAAGGTTGAGAATGACCCTTTGACACATCATTTGAATGGAGAACGGCAGGGTTTCATCAAATAGATTCTTGCCAAAAAGATCCACTGCTCGTGAAACTCTTGTGAGGGAAAGATCGTTGCGGATATGGTGCAGTAAGTCGCCCAGCATACTGTAGGATAGAGGCCTGGGAAAGGAGGAGAAAAACAGTAATAATAGGCGTAATTAGGCCGCAACGAATTGATTAAAACTGGAAATGTTACCTGAGTGATTCTCTAAAATAGAATCCTTCGCCAACAAGAACACTGTCATCCATCATATCATCAATAACGTGGAGAAATTCTAATCAAATGAAAAAAAAAACATATTACAAGCAAGTTTACTCCATAAATGTCAATAAGGATATACTTGTTAAAACGAAGATCACCTTTAGGGACAGTTTGTTTAACAGACAAGAAACAGAAGCCAGTGCGTCAATAAACTCATAACTAAAAGGTTGTCATTCTAATTCCACGTACATTAAAAAAAGAGTGATATTTTAATAATTCATTTCCTTACTCGAAAGATTACTAATGACACGCGGAGCCCTGCAATGGAGTTGTTAATACGATGAAACAGGACAATAATCCGATAAAATTAAGAAATCGAAATAAGAGAGCTTTGAGTGTCCGGGACTCAGATAGGAAAGATTTTATTTTGACTAATTGAACTATTAAAAAACGTTTGCTACGATAAAGAAAGGGAGTTGAAGTCGCCGGATTGAACGTAACGGGGCGTTCAGTTTAGAAACGGCTAAAATAAGCACGAGATAAAGTCCACATCGATCTAGACGTCTTCTTGAGTGAAAAAGTGCAGTTAACTAAAGTGAAAAGGGGGTGGGGGTTTAATAACCATTATATTCGGAATAAAAGTAGCAGACTTGAATAGTGTCGATGAGCAAAAAGAAGATACAATTTTCCTATCAATTAGACTTAACTAATTTAAATAAATGCGTGCTTAACACAAATGATTGGCAAAAACGTACTGGGCCGGATATCCGGGAAGTTTAGAATGTGACGAGTGGCAATGAAGAATTCCTTGCGCAAATTTGTCGCAGTGGATGGACAAGTAATCATAAGGTTCATTATTCCCTTCACGATCGACAGGTAATGAGACTCGATACAGGGATGTAGTGGCTCAGGGGTGTTTGGTGTGTTCCCTTGATGATATTTCACGATATAAGCCAGAAAGGAAAGCGTCTTGACTTGAGCAGCCATAAAATCCAGATATCGACTATCCATGCAACACTGTGCGCGCCTGCGAAAGGAAAAAGGCAAAGTCAAATCTTAACTACCCAAATAGCAATTTTAACCCAATCTACCAAACTTGAATAACCTACATAAATCGTTTGAACCGACGAAGCGCAAGAAATTATAGTACTCTGAGTGACAAACAATAAATAGAGGTAAAATGAGTGAAAAAGTGAAACCATGATGGCAGTGATGCTTTGCAACCGAAAAGGAAGACACAATAAAAAAATATTCGCAGTCTCAAAAATAAACTGCCACATAAACGCTTTTTTTCAGTGGACCAAAACTATGAACTTCGTTCGGATTTTCCACATGAAGCCCAATCAACAATGAATTGGGAAAAATCTAGATATGAGCATGGGAAACAGATAAAGTAAGGTTCACTTTACCTAATGCATTTACTCCTAAAAATAACCAAGTCTTCTTTTCCTTCAAAAGTATTAGTGCATATTCTAATGATTAAAATATCGAATGCTAGTTTGATACACCATGGAGAAGAAATAAGCAAAATAACTCACGTGGGTTCGGAGAGAGGACGCATATTAATAAAATCCATAATGAGAGGCATAATTTCCACTAAAGAGTCTAGAATTTGTGGCTTGTACAACTGATAGAAAAGGACAATCAAAATTGGGACCTCAGACATAACTTTGAGAGACAGGGATGATTTAGGGATAAGATGATACTAAAACGGACGAGTTAGAAAAAAAGTAGAAATGCCAATCTACAATTTTATTAGGTCCGCTCTCTTTAGTTTTAACCGTAATGACTGAACAGGACTCAAGGTTAAGATTGCTTTTTCTCAAGTCCACAAGACTGTTAACTTCATAGACCTCTTCGGTTTTGAAGATATTACAGATGTGTGCCTTGAGATTTCGATAAACTTGACGAATAAAGACGAGGAATGTGATAACCTAAAAGAGGTCAGCAAAAAATAAGACAAACATCTGGTATAAACTGAGGTCGATTCGCCTTGTGAAACTCAATTATTAATTTAATAACGCCAATGGCAATCTCTTCATTTTCTCGCTAGAAATAAAAAAGGTTTATGCACAAAAATGTACCTCAGGAATTTTAAACAGCAACTGCAGAATAGATGATAAATGAGTCTTGCAAAACTCAGTATTTTTCATTTTGTGTAATAGTTCAACGGACATTTGCCTGAGTCGGTTGGTCGGATTCTCCCTTATGAAATAAATATTAGTTTCAGAAAGTATTTTTGTTAATTTGTCGAAAATTGTAGGCAACAGTGATTTAACTCCTTCGTCTGCATGGGAAATCTAAAAAGATATAAGCGTGGAAGCAAAAATTACCTCAAGTATTTCACCTAGATCTTCTGCATTTTTTAGACGAATGTCAATCGCTACAAATGATATGAATTAATAAAATTGTAAAACGTACGCAAGTTGGAAGACAAAAAATTCTCAAATGCAGAACGAGCTTTCGACTCTAATGTTTCTTCAACATTATGCAAAGTCGGCATTTTTAAGTTTAATAGATTTAAATAAACATCAACTGGACAAGCTTATGCAATTTAAGCCTATTAGCCTATTAGCACTCAAGGTTGAATTTTAATGTAATATTATTTGAAAGCTTATTACACGGAACACTTTAATAATTTAAAACTAACTTCAATTAATTTATCAACAAAATCGATATAATGAATAATAATTCATTTCTTCGATTATCCTTTGTTTTTCATTAGGTCATCCAATATCCATATCGCTGTACGAAATTTATGTACACTCCAATGCTTTTGTAAAACATGAGAACAATAAATTTCTTCCACTTGGATTGTAAACAAGGGGACTTTTAAAAAGATCCCACGTTGGCAAACGTCATTTTTATCAATTTTTCAATTATTTTACAGAACTATAAAGCCATCAAAAACTTCAAAAGAAAATAAGCAATAAATTGTGCTGAGGAACTAAATGCACGTCATTTCTTATGTGCGATAAAATTTATCATTTATAATTTAACATTTATGTTGTAAATACATTACGCGAAAAGAATGAATTTTGAAGGTCAAATAAGCCCTCTTATCTACGTTGAGGTCATTCGTATTGTGCTTATTTTCAGCATTCGCATTGGTGTAAAGGTAATTTAAGATTAATTAATCTATAATGACTCTACTTTCTCCTTCAAATGTTTTGTGGTCGTTTATATTGTTGAGATCTTATTTTATCTAGATATCGCTTTCATTTATTGGATATCAGATCGTGTTCTTTTGAAAAAAATCCATGAGCTTTTATTGTGCAGGTCGATTTGCCATCCCCCCGGATATTGATTTTAGGTAATGTCTTATGTATTCACTGGCATTTTTAGTCTCCTTCCACATAAATCGAAACCTGTAGTAGTTATTACCGTTATTGGTTCCTTGGATTCATTCAATAACAAATCCACCACATTACTTGCTGAGGAGTTTCTTAAATTAAATCCATTTTCCCTTCCATGCGTCGATGTAAGTCTCCTTTCAATTTCCAAAAAAATATCTAGACCCAAATTGAGGGCTTCTATGACGCCGAAAGAAAGATAATATTTTTGCACTATAAGAATTCCGAGGAACTTCTTAATCAATTGCTGCTGAATTGCGGAGTATGCTTATTCAATTTAGTAATCTCATGTTGCAGAGATGTCTAAAAAGAATGAGTAGCTGGGAGTACTTCAAATTGAAGGAAATTTTTTTTCTATTTTCGGTATCGCATTTCATTGTGGTTAGTTAGCCTTTAACTCAAGAAGTTTTTTAGCTTACCTCCTTTGGTACTTCGTTAGATCCAAGATATATCTCGCTTTTCAAAATGATAGATCAATTTCGACTCGAGCTATTTTCAAGTATGGAGAAAGTTCTTAAATTAATCGCTGTTTCTCCCTATTGTGTTTCTTTGGCTCGCGTTGCCTGTCCACGACTTCTTTTTGTATTCAAATTACCCCCTACTATCGCTGCGCGGAATCTTGCTAAGGTAAAGTTTGTTAAATTGATTCTTTTCTTTAATCTCTCATACTTAGAATCATAAGGCACTGGCTAATTTGGAAAGGAATCTCTCCCTTCAAATTTTTAACGTTTTCCAAGAATGCGCTTTGCTCGACGGGTAAGTTGAGTGATTCGTATTTCGATAAACTTGTCGCGATTGGGCTATTATTTTAGCTAAATTTATGCCTAACAAAAACTCAAAATCTTATTACAAATTGACGTTCGTAAAGAATGGCGAACTTTACTTAATGAGTTGTAGAGAATTGATTAGAGTTGGCCTGTGGTTTTTTGAGGAAATGTTACGTGTAGTTGAATTATTATTGGCCCCTTGTGCATATGGGTAAGTTTTTTGATGACCCTTTGCTTCTCCTTTGAAATTTAAGTGGTCGTGTCATTACAAACGAAGAGACCTCGAAATAGCTACTCTACTTCAAGAAGAATCAACGATGATTTTAACGAAAAATTTTTCTTATAGACTTTTCACAATTGATGGGTTTCACACCGTTCGTGTTCTACCCCCTGATTGTTTTGAGCCAATTAATGTCTGCACAGAACGCCATTCAGGTAATGATGATTTGGCTCAGCAAATGCTTGAACAAATCCTCTCCTGCACCGGAATATCTTCACTCACAAGGGACTTTGATACTAAGTTAAAAAGACAGCCACCCCAAGTAGTGAATGAATACTCAGCTCCAGGCGCTCCACGTAATCGGAGCTTTGCTGCTTTCCTGGAATCGAATATCTCCAACCTTATACAGCACATTGAGGACAATGATGTCAAGGATCCTTACACAAAATACCTTCCTGAACTGCCAAGTGTCAAATGTTGGTTCATTGTAAGTTCTCTAGTCAACTCCAATCGTCTTATTTTGTTTTGTCCACTTCATTTATTTTTAGTACATGGTTTCTCCCTATGCCGTGTTAATGCTAAAATGCATACTTTCAATAGATGACAATTGATTCCTACATAGGGTAAAAGAGATAAGATCAAAATGCAGTTGTTGCAAGTCACTATCAATTTAACAAATTGTCTTCAGTTTTCCGTTGTTAAAGGCCTAAGCATCCCTAAACTGCTAACAATTTTTGTCTAGAAAGCCTTCCCTGTTGTCATCAATGGTGATTGGGTACTGATAATGATGATAAATAACTTAGAAATGACCTGTGAGATGTATATTCTTTCGGAATAAAAACAACAACTCTGTAGCCTTGTGCCTTGCTTGTCGGTTTCGTTGTAGTGCGATTGTGGCTGTGTCGTGTATCGAAGTTCATGCTGAGCACTTTCAATGATTTTTGTGAATCTTTAATTGCTCAGTATTTTGTTATTTTTAATATGCTCTTTTTACTACTATTAAATAAAAATATAATTTTAATTTATCTTTCTCTATTCACACAGGACCTCGTTTCTTGGCCCTCATATATAAGCCAGGACGCTAAGCCCACAACCTTAATCATGCCCAGCTGGTATACTTCCACACAGAGTGGATTAATGAGCCGGTGTGTGTAGTCTCATATAGTTGACAAAGTTGGGACAAAGTTTGTGGTCTGGAAGTGGTTGTCTGTTTTTTTCTCTCCATTGGGCTTCTTATCTTCATTTTTCATACAAATTTTCTCACCAAAGTTTGCGAAATCATGTGCTATTTGAATTTCCAAATGGTCACCTTGAAACATTGAGAACACTTTGGGTTCTGCGAAATTGTTAAACTATCCGTCGTTTTTGAGAATAATAAGCTCAGAAGATGGTTAATTTGGTTAGTTAGAAATTAGTGTAATTGTTACAGGCCGAGAAATAAGCAGTCTTTATGTTTGTGGTAATTTACTTGCCGGTACCTTCTTTCGACTTATTGACAAGGCGATAACACCGAGGGTCAGACGTTTACTTTCTCTTTTACGCTTACCTTTCACTTGAGACTGGGGTTCTTTATATAGTTTATCATGCAAATTCCTTCTTTCTCGCAAACACCTATTTAGCTTCCTCCTGAAGTTGTCTTGGCCAGTTCTTTTTACAGGCGGGCGCACTTTTGGCGAATAGCATTTTAGTAAAATTTTTGTTAATGCCTCATCTCCTCTGAAAACTTGTCTAATGGAAAACTAGTTGATCGGATGACTCACCAGCTCAGATGAACTAAATTTTTTCTAATTCTTTGACTCACTTCTACTGCTGAAACTCCTCCCCTCTCTCTCCAAAAAAAATTATTCCCACTTCCCTTTTGAAAACTTTTACTCAGAGGTGTCAGTGTGGAAGCATTTTTAACCCAACTGTTTGGAACTCGTAACTACGTAAACGTATGCTCCTGTTTAATTCGATTTGAATCTGTTTCGTTTCCTAAGTAATGCATGCCGTGGATTGTTTTTATTTATTTTCAGCAGGCACTTCTTTTCCCAAGCGAATTTACTCAAAGTTATGCTACATGGATTGAGAATGTGCAATTTAATATGTTGATCATCGATGTTTCTACTTAAAACTGGCTATTCGTGAATAAATGTGGCTCTATACAAACTTTTCATATAGTATTCACAAATCAGCTTATAATCGCATTACGTTCATCTTCGAGTAGAAATTGTTATCGATTCGCTTTCTCCCGCTTCTTTGGGTCGATGTTGATCGTTACGAATAAGCAAACTATTCAATTGACAAGAATATTGTACCATCGAGTCATAAACGGACTGAGTAATCATTTTATTATCAACTGCAGTTGTCTACTTAAACCGACATCTTCTGCGTTCTTAGTACTACCTAATGCGAAGTCTTTAATTGTTTTTGCATTTTAGATATGCTTCAAACTCTATACTAGTCTATTTGGTGTAGGCAATTCATCTGACCAGAGCAATCCTGAGATGCCATTTCTCTACAACGAGTGGAATAAACTTCTATCAAGTGCTGACCCAAATTCTATCACCAATTGTAAATTCTTCGCATCACAAAATCAACTTGATCACGGGATCTCGAAACTTCGATGTACGAAGGCATTTGCTGTAGCTGAAGCCCATTATCTGAAAGATCTTCCAGCGCATTACTCCCTCACATATCATCAGGCACGGGTCATCTCCTCGTACAACACCTTCCTCAGCCTTGCTCGTGGTCCTCTTGTTGTTCCTTGTTTAAAGGATTTAACTCATCGTCTAGCGCATCTATACTTGGCCGGTCGAGTTAAGTGTCCTGCCCTTCTAATCTCAGGTTCTAGATGCCGTCGCGAGTTTCATGCCACTCCTCAACGCTTTCCTGGAATCACTAGTGCCCTCCTCTATCTTAAACCAACTTTAACTTCCTCTGATTCAGCAACTCTTCGAAGTGCCGAAGCCGATAAGGTGACCGATTGTTATCTTCTCATGAAGCACATCAAATCATTACTGACTTCATCTGAGATTTCTTCGAGATCTCATGACAACATTTTACAGAAATGTCTCCGAGATGTTCCTTCTGGTGGGTTTTTATGGTAATTTGTAAAATGATAATACGTTTGTTCGAAAACTTTCCATTACTCTGGCATCATAAAATTTACTTAATGATTGCTTTATGATTAGTGGATGCTTAGACCACAAATTATTTTAATTATTACTTTTTGTTGTCATTGTTCCATGTAAACTCTAGAGGAGACTGTGGTGCTGTTCCAACCAGTCTTGCTTAATCCCAACAATTCATGTGGGGGCCCTTGGTGATAGCTAAAATATGACTCATTTTCATAGTGGAAACTATTAATAATATATGGTTATGTTAATTATTAAAATTGTTACCTAAGTTCACTTGGTTTTCTCATGCTTGCCTGTACGCAATTAGATCAAGGTAAAGTTTAAAACCGCATTTTTTCATTTCGGTTAGTCTCTACTTAGTCAGTTTTAAGCAATTTTATCACATTTTCTCTCTAGTTGATATTAGAGTTGCTACCACTTACGCATCTATTGCATTGATCTAGGCATCATCTATCCCTTTACCCCAAATCATTGATTTCAAATAGCTTTATTACTGTCCCTTGCATAGGCTTCTCCATAGCTATGTCTTTAATAGCATGAGTTCTAAATCGGCTGCGTATTGTTAATAACTTCTTTATTTTTATCAAATGGCAGGCTTGTTTGATAATTATCATTAGCCCTTTAGTTGACTTCGGGCTTCACAGAGGCGAAGAGGAACATCGTTCACTAAAAGTGGAGAGAGCTAACTGAAGATTGTTTCACAGATGTAAAAGGAGCAGACAGACACAAAGGTAGAGAAATAGGTAAGGTAATATGAGTATAGTTAAAGGGGTCGAATATGGCATAGAGTCGGGTCATGGTAGTTTGAAGTCAGAAGTCAACTGCCGCATTATAGACTTTTTTTTGCTGTATTAGTATACATTGCCCAGGGTGCACCACGTGGTTTTAAGTCTATCGCAAACCATTTATTTTTAATCATTGGATTAAGGAATATAACCTGTTAATTAGTAAAAGCCTGAGTACCTTAAGATAGGATGTTACTTTTATTCACTATGAATGTTTACATAGAAGCTCAATAAACAGTGATTTCACCTTTTTGTAGACCTCAAAGAACCTTGGCAATATGCATGGATAGAAGGCGTTGCTAAAGTGATTGAACGCGAGAAAGACCAGATAGATCCTGAGCTCTCCGGAATTGTTCAGGATATATCTAGTTTGAAGCATCTCTCTCTTATGTCCCATAGTTCAAATAATCGTTTTATCAGTGCTTGCAATTGCGGTCAAACTGTGGCTGTAAGGAACGATCCTTATGACTATAAGGAAGCGAATTGGGACTTTTACCATAACTTGGGCTCCAGGTGCTGCAATAAGGTATTGTGTCTTGCTCAATTTTTATTTAATACAACTTGTATGCCGATTACTAATATTACATCCTTAATTTCTCATACAGTACAGGAGTATTCCTTTAGCGCCGATTTTCCTCATGGAAAAAGGTCATGATTTGCATACACCTTTCGAGTTTTCCACTATACAACCAGCGAAACAGGAGTCTAAAGAAAACCAAAAGTTATCCTGTTCTGCTAGACTATCTCAAAGTCCTGAATTTTTCAATAAGGATCTACTTGATGTGTTGGATGATCCTTTGTCCATACCAATCACTTCTAAACCGAGTACTCCTTTAGTTGCACAAACGTCAGAATTGTTGGATTCAGATTATTTAAAAGTCGAAAAGTCACTAAAGAAAACAGTTGAAGAGATGCCTAAATCCTCTGAAGAGGCTATTGTTCCTGAATGTGAAATTTCAAATGTTAAAGAAATCCAAGAAGGCATATTTCTAGAATCGTCTAAATCGATTGGTGAATTGGATGATCAAGAAGCTGAAAGGCTGTCAAAATCATGCACTCCATCCACTAAAGTTGTTGAGGGAGAGGAAATTAAGCAGTCAGATGGGGAAGAGTTGGAGGCGACGGTTGTAACCTCTCCGAGAAGGAATCGACCAACATTAGATCCATCAAAATCAATGTTGACCGAACAGGTGGAAGAGAAATTAGTTGAAATGAAATCAAATGATGAAGAAAAGAGCACAGAAATTCAAGAACAAGAATGTATAAAGCAGGACAAACTTGTTGGAGGATGCACGCGTGAGAAAATAATCTTTGGAATTTCAGGATCAATATCATCTGTTGAAAATACGACCTCTATCAAGGAGGTAGTGGTAGACCGGGAAAGTTTTTTGGAAGGAATGGTCATGACATCCTCAGAAACGAAGGTGGAATCACCATCGAAGCAATTGGAACAACTTGATAAGTCCACTCAGCAAATGAAGATTGAGCAGAAAGATCTCGTAGGGCAGATGTCATTGCAATCTATTGTCGTTCCTGAGACTGATTCTGGTAAGGTTTATGGAGCTTCGAAAAAAGAAGAAAATTTGAAGCAACTAGTTGCGAATTCTGTTGATGGGAAGACTGTGCCGTCGACTATCCATTCAATTTATTCTTCCATGGCTGAAAAAGCAGATCAATTGAAATTCCTAAATTTGGAGGAAACAGATGTGGGAAAGGACAAATTGGACTCTAAAGAAATATCTCTGCAGAGGGATGTGTTTTTACCAATCCAGAAGGAACCCAGCCAAGAGAAATCAATCAAGCAGATTGAGAGTAAGCAAAGTAGCCTCAACGAATCAGGAAGTGCGCCCGTGGAAGAGGAAGAGCAAGAAATTTTTTCTAGAGTGCATTTAGGTACAGAGAGGTCCTCTGCGTTGCATAAAAACACTTCATATGAGCCAGAAAATGCAGAGAAATCAAAGCAGTTATCTTTTGAGAAACTAGAGTTGGGGTCTCGGATTAAATTGCTTGTACCAACGAAACTGAAATCAGACTGCAATTTAACTTCAACTGAGAAATCGGACGAACTGGGGGAATCCGGAAGTACAAATCAAGCAGAACCTTCATGTGCTTCAAAATCGACAGATTCCGAGATTGCTTCTATGGCCCCAGATAGCCCCTTTTCTGAGGGCGAATCTTTTGAGCGCTCTAAGGTTGGCGGAAACAACTCGGGCAAATATCGAGAAAAGAAGAATGAAAATGAATTTAGGCAAGAGAGGGAAAATGTAGAGCAGGTGCCCACTAAAGTCGAAATGGAAAGCAATGCTCCTGAGTCTATAGGCGCCCGAGAGTGCTATGTTTTTCTCGATAATGAAGGCGAAAAGACTTCTAAGCAATCTCAAATGTTGGTGTGGAAGCCAGAAATAATTGAATATTCGCAAAAATGTGTCGGAGTTCACACTGAGAAATTGGGTAAACTTTTTGAAGAAAGGTCAGATAGTGTTGATCAGGAGAAAAATAATCCAGCAGTTGATGAATTGGCCATTCATTTTGATTCCCTGACATTCGTTGATGTGCTTGGCAAGCCCAGTCAAGCTAAATCGGTTGATAGGGGCTCACTTGAATCCCCTTCTATGTTGGAGACCAAGGTTATGGTAGATTTTCATGATGGAATGCCTGTGCTTGGTCAGCTTTCACATATTATGCCTTTGTATCCTTCCTGGTCTATCCATTGCCTTGGAAAGTACTCTAGCTACAGTCACTATCGTGGTAAGTTATTTAAACTGTTTGTTTTTGCTTTCAACTTGCCATTATTTCATATCATGTATAGAATTTTAGTGGCGTTATATATAGCTTCCAATGTTACATTTATCAATAAGAATGAAATATGAAATTGGGTTATTTCAACTTTGAAGTCAGGGAGTATTTGTGGATTTACGCCTCTGCCTCAAAACGTTTAGGGGTTCAAAGCTTTAGTAAGTGCCATTTTCCTTCGGAGGTCTTGAATAATTGCATTAAGTAAGGAAAATCTGCATTTTGCAAACGGATTAAAATTTGTCATTGATAATAATAAAATATACAAGTGGGATTGTTCAATTTCAAAAGATAGATTAATGGTATGACTTCCAAACTTTTAATGACTGGTATAGTTAGTACTTGCTACCACTGATTGACATGTTTAAAGCACTCCTTACCTATCCGTCCCAATATATTCAGAACTTAGAGTCAAAAAGAGTCTGCCTCAAAATAACTGTTGTTGTTATTGGCTGTTTGAACTGTGCTTGCATAACATAGTAAGCAGAAAGGCGAAGACAAGTCTATTACCAGTAAATGCCATTGATTTCTAATTCCCCCTAAATGAGTATGATTGGATTGTTGCCAGGTATTGTTGCACCGGGATTTCTTCGCGATGGCAATTTCCTCCTACCAAATGATGTTTCCTTTCACAATTTTCACGAATCCTCTTCCACAGTATCAAAACCTAAGGGTCGTTCAAATCGTGGACGCGATCTCGATAGTGCTAAACTCTTCATTGGTTATGAAATGGAATGCCCTTTGGGTCATCGATTCTTTCTTGCTGGTATCAACCGTGCCATGACGAGAAACATGACGTCAACTGAGGTCAAACGAGCAGTCCGTGAACTACTAGAATCGGACATTCCTATATTCACGCCCTGTCGGTGTTCACGAATTCAACAAGAAGAATCAGAGGAATCATTGACGTGGGCTCAGTTGATGCGAATCTACGTTGCCATCCCTACTGTTCCAATTCGTGTTCGATTTGCACCTGTTGTGCAAGTTAGCGAGGGCTCACCAGCATTTCATCTCGGGCCTACACTCGATAAACTGGTAAGTTGTTTGTAAAACTTGTCGGCACAGACGCGCCGCCACTGGTAATCCCTACTGATTACCCATAATTAGTCAAAGATAAATTCTTGTAGCTCAAAGTTGCGGACTTTTCAGTTAAGAAGATAAATTAAACTTTGAAAATTATGTAATCACACTAGCACACTTTGGCTTCAAATGGGTTTTGATGAGCGAGAAAAGATAGCTGCCTGAGTCGAATATATTTGCATTAGTGATGAGATGGCATATCTAGAGGAATGAAGTCTAAGAATCTCGTTCAGATGCCCTGAAAATATTTAACCCTTTAACGTCCAAATTATTTCTTTGAAAAAATGCACTCACTCGTCTCAGCGGACTGATGCCTCCACTGTTGTGAGTTTTGGTGGTGCATCAGGCGAAGGCTGTAGACACGTATTGAGCATGTTTCAAATAGCAATAGCGCATTCTGTTTAGACTCCAGTATCGATGGAGCTTATTTTGAAACAGTTAAATCAACTTCCTAGCATACATTTGTTCATAAAAGATATCCTGTTTTGTTCTTAATAGAAAGATCTAAGAAACGATCTGGATGTTATCGAAGCTTCCTCTTCACAACCAGGCTATGTGAATCTGGAGGAGGGAAACATTTGGGTCCTGAGGTTACCGTAAGTTTGAGTGTATTACAAAGTCTTTTTCACTTTTAAACGTTCTTAGTTCGTGCGTTGTGTTTTACGATTGCAGATTTACTTATCAGCATGATGGGGTGGTTTTTCACAGACCGCAGAATCCATCACAGGTGAAGAAATTTCGTCTTCTAAAATCGAATATTCAAATTCTTCATTTGTGACGTATTTTTCTATTTCGGTGCTTTTTCTTAAAAAACATTAAATATGATCTATTTGTAAACGCATTTTGTTTACTTGTGTGTGATTATTTTGGTGTTATGGGCTTTATTACCTCTCAGTTGCCCACTTTATGGTCATACTGATTAATCGGACCTCAGGAAAAGAAAAAGACTTGAAGCTCAAATAATGCTTTTCTTATTAGTCAGTGTTTGATTGGATATGCGATAAATGATTGGCTGCCTATTTAGCTGAGGGAGGTTTCTTATTGGTGTTATTGCATATCCAGTTCCATAGAAAGGATTCTGATGACCCATAATCCATTGCTTTCCACCCTTCAAAGTTTAAAAATAACTAATTTAACTTTTCTCCCATGATTTTTCTTTATTATTTCCAACAGTTTCTTAACTGTAAACGAATTATGTAATTGAAAAAGATCATTGCATTGGCTTGCTGTGGGTCTTAAATGGCTTAACTATTGTTTTGCCTTTATAAACTCTTTGAACAGGGAAAGATAGGTAGAAAATGTCTTGCTACGATGGCAACTTCCATCCGCATCAACATGAAACTGTGAATGTGTTCGTCTCAGGTCCTGGCATCGCTTTTTATGCATGGCCAAACTCGTTTGTTTTACTTCCGAGCGATTCATTATTGGCTGGAAACGTTGCTGGCTTCGCAAATTTTATTTCTTTGCAGTGACACGCTTATTGGTTTGTAATATCTTAATTACTTTCATTGAACTACATATATGCATTCTTTATCTCTTCAGATACGATAAATGAATCGCTGATTGGTAAGAAAATGTTTTGTAGGTCAATCGTATGTATTTCTTAGTATTATCCTTGTTTCTAAAGGTTTGCAGTTGAATAGTAGGAGGAAGCAGATTGTTAAATAATTGGGTCAAAGCAATAACGACTCTACCGTAGTTACTTGGACTTAGCCACAGATGGAACAAGTTAGGTTGCTCATGCCACAAGATCAGTACAGAAGTAACAAGGAAACCGACTGAATTTATTGATAAATTAATTTGATTTGTGTGGAAAATATTAGATCATTAAATGCCAGTCGTGCCTCAGTGTAGTGATTGGCATCTATGTTTAAAGTCGGGGATACTGGTGTCAAGTTCTTACCACCAGTTATTTATTTCTCCTTTCTAGGTGTTAATAGAAATCTGTTATTTACAACAGGTTCTATTATTGTTTTCATTTTAAAATGTTTTGAGCCCGTGAATAAATGTGGATAACAATACATGTAACTATCATAATTAAAACAAAGAAATTGATAAAACACGGACACATTGAACCGTTAATTGAAGACTATTATCAAAGAGAGATTTTAATTTCAACAAAGGTGACAACAATTTGAAATTCTGAAAGAAATCGCAGTAAATTAAATTACGTTCTGAAATATTTAAAGTTAATGTCAAATACGACGCTTGAGGCTGAATATAAATTATTTGAGAAGACATGCTTTTCTCGTTATACGTATTTTCAAGGTATTATAAAGACTATCAGCATAACATTTTAGCATACGATAAATGGTATTCGTTAAATAAAATCCCATTAATTTTGTCGGAAGAAGAAATCTTAATGATAAATGAATTCAGAAGGTATATATATCAATTACTTATCAATGGGGAATACTGAACTACATTTCAACTTATTTAAGTATTATTTTCGGAAAGTCAAACAAATTAAAGTTACTTAAAAATATACGGGTAGATCCATATAGAACATTAATAACTCAAATAAACAACTCTTTTAATTTGTTCGCCTGCTTCTTCTGGGGTTTTAGGGAAGTGTCAGTTTTGAATCATACATCTCGGATGCTTGCCTATAGTTGGGATTGCTTTATAATCTGATCTATTAATCCTTAATTTTTGTAAAATGTCGTCGAATTACATTCGACTTGGTAAATTTGAATATAACCCTGCCGATATTCTTGGAAGTGGAGCTTTCGCTGTTGTCTATAAGGGCCGATTTCGGAATGTAATCGAGTATATTGATGATTTTATTCTCCCATTTAGGATAAAAGTCGTAAAGTTGCTATAAAGCAGATGATTAAAAATCAAAATGTTGATAAATCAAAGAGTTTACTGAGCAAGGAAATATCTGTTCTAGCGGTTAGTTTCTATTTCTTGCCATATTGATTTTTTCAGGATCTCAACCACGAACACATAGTTCGACTTTATGACCACTGTGTAAATGAAAGCGATGTTTATCTCGTGATGGAATTTTGTAATGGTGGGGACCTTAACGATTACCTTCACCGCAAAAAAACCCTACCTGAGGAAACAATTAGGCATTTTCTGATTCAAATTGGTTCAGCCATGGACGCCATGAACAGAAAAGCTATTGTTCACCGAGATTTAAAACCTGGCAATATTCTTCTTAGTTACTATGGAAACTATGGTTCTGTTGAAGATGTGCCAGGACCACTTATTACCTTCAAACTTGGTATGTCTATTGTTTATCTGAATTTGATGTATTTATTTTACCTACGAACATTGCTTGATTTTCTTTTTTACTGTAGCGGATTTCGGTTTTGCTCGCTTTTTACAGTATGGCATAATGGCACAAACAATGTGCGGCTCGCCTATGTACATGGTAATGCTAATAGGTTTTGATATACTAATTACTTTTGTATCTCAGGCTCCGGAAGTTCTTATGTGTCAAAAGTATGATGCTCGTGCAGATATCTGGAGTATGGGTATCATTGTTTATCAATGCTATGTCGGAAAAGCCCCATTTATCGCCAACAGTCCTGAAGCGCTCAAGAATATCTACCTTAAAACTGTTGATTTGAAACCAAAGTATATTATTTCCATGCATTTTCATTCGAATTTCTCTCCAGTCTCTTAATTCTTTCTCTCGTGTAGGATTCCAAGTGGAACAAGTCCTAATCTTCGTGATCTCCTGCTCAAAATGCTTGTTAGAAAAGCAAGTGATCGTATAGATTTCCGTAAGTAAAATTTGGGTTCGTCTGTTTATTACCATTTCAATTAGTACTAATACTTATTTTACCCTTTTTAAACTAGCCTCTTTTCTCTCCCATCCGTTTCTCACGGCAAAGCATATTTTACCTTCTGGTAAGTGTTGAATATTTAAGTATCTATCTAGTTTGAGTGTTTTTATTGCCTGTGGAAAAGGGAAAAATGCCAGATTCATGCATGGAACGAGCACTATTGGACTATAGAAAATGCTAATCGTATACACAAAGCTTCTACGCACTAGGAACAACAATGGAAAGAATTTTTGTATAGAAGTTGTTAAGGCCATCAAAGTTCATACTTGGTTTGAACTCTGTAATCACTATTGTCATACTTCACCGTTCCGAAATTTGAATTTCATTATTTGTTAATGATATCCCATAAATAAGCCAGCAGCATAACAAAACATCAGTTTACTTTGATTAGAAATAACCTAAATTTCAAGTGTGCTGATAATACCTTACAATTTCGCTATTTTTGCATTCGCTCAATGGAACTTAAAATCCTTGGTAGCATTCATCTTTGTTTTATTCATGAGTCATTGTTCTTTGGAAATTCAATTTTTTGTAAGAATATTTGTTCTACGTCTTACGACAAGCTTTTCCCAATCTGACAATACTACCAAAAAAATTATTGAATTCAGCCATTATAGGACAGTGAGGTATAGAGTGTGAACGCTAATTTGATCTTTTAGGCGTTTTTCTTTATGTAGGGTCATAAATTTCAGTTAACGTATACCCCCTTTAGGTTTCCATATACTCTGGTTCTCCTTTTCTTTTAGATCTTGTGCCCCAGTCACCAGCCACAGTTCCACCTCTTCCAAGTTCAGTTCGTCGACTTCGAGGTGGTCCCCTAGCCTCAGGAGTTCATCGCATCTCAAACTCTCCTAATTCCTCGCCCTTCGGTCACACTGGACCTCGGCGTACAACAACCGACCACCTCACCACCCACTATCGTCTAACTTCCGCAAACGCCATCCCTGGCTCATCTCGTAGTCGAGGTCGCAGTACTATTGCTGATTTCATGCCCACAGCTGCTGTGGGCAAGGGATCCTTGAGACGTATTGGGGATGCTTCAGGGACTCCCAGAACTGGTCCGCTTCCACCTCCTCCTCCACCTCCACCACGCTCTCCCCTTGATGACGTAAACATTGGCAATGATGAGTTACCTCAAGAAGAGAATTCCTCTGAGGCCTCTCTAACCCCCACAGAAGGTGGAGATGAATTTATTGAAGATGGACTGGGTGGAAGCAGTTTTCTGGGTGAAGTGAGGCGTCCGCAGGGATTCGGCGCACTTGAACCATGTACTCCTGGAGTGCTTCAACGACCAAGACCTCTTGTTTCTAATATGCCTGGTCGATATCAGACCCCTAAAATTACTCAACCCTCTATGGATAAAAGCTTGGATGGATATGTAATTGTCGAAAGTGATGGAGTGGGTGAGCTTCCCTCTTACGTTAATTTATAATTATTGCACTTTTACCCCTTTATCATGCTTTCCTTGATATGAATTGAAACTTCATTAAATGTCACGTTTCAAAAACTCAGCTAATTTTTCCTGGCTCTCAATGTACCTCTGAAAGGGAAAATTCTTAACACTCATCCTACTTACCTATTGAATTTAGGGCCTTGTTTGGTGAGTAACTCACATTCTGACCACACTCGTTAATTGGTACTTCTTATAAGTCCATGTCAATTTCTATTTTAATTGCCCAAGAACCTCGAATTTTCCCGCGCCATCCCCCTCTTTTAGCTAGACTTGACCACCAATGCACATCAGACTCTTGCCTTTGCAGATGGCCATATCAGTCCTTTTACTACCACCGGGAGCCAATAACATCTAATTTAGAAGACTTGCACTTTGACTCTGTCTGTCTCAACTGTTTCATGTTTGCATTTTAGGTCATTTTTATTGTTGCGACGATTATGGTAATTTATTTGTATCTTCATTAGAATTCCTACAGTCGTTTATTAATTTTTTTAATGTTGATAGCCTTTGCCTATCTGATCCAATGTCTTTAAATGTTATTTTGTCTTTTCTTAATCGTTTTTTACTGGTAACTGTTGTATTATTTATGTAGAAATAGCACCACGCACGCACAGAATAGAATGAGTAGTTGATTTTCTTGGGAAATGGTGCCATTAATCTTGCCAGCAAATTTCCATTTGATAACCTCAACAAGCAGAGAAGCTATTGTTTTTATGCTCAACTTGTCTTATTTTCTGAATTTTTCTGATGCCAATAGTTGTTTGATGTTAATTTTCTAGTCTTGTGGCAGTTCTTTACCAAATTTCACCTTGGACTGTTACAGTGTAAGTTGAGACGAACGTTTCATCACTAACCTCCACTGGCACCAGTTGTCCCATTTGCTTATTAAACTCCAGAACTGAAATTGCATGATTGATAATCATGATGATTACGGAGATTCCGAATTTGCCAGATGGGGTTTATATACAATATGGAGGTAGTAATTAGTCTGGTGGAAAATGCGCATCGATTACCCTCCTCTAATTGGTGCTCATTCAAATGACTGGGAACAGCGTTACTGTGAGAATTTATTTCGTAAATGGAATTATTGCTTCCTAAGTCAACATTGTCTTATATGGTCGAATCGATATTAGTTTGTTATCTTGGCCTTCTTGAATAAGCCTCTCTGTTATTGTTTGCTGTTCTACTCGGATGAATGTTATCGTTGTGCTTATAAACAAGCTCATTTAGACAAAAAAGATCTGTTTCCATTATGGAAAGTGTTCCAATAATTGATCTGATTTTGAGAAGGTATCCTAGGTTAAGTCCCTTTTGCTAACGTGATTTATTTGGCGTGCTTGATTATCTCCATCAGTGGGTGCGCCCCCATTGGATATTGATCTCGTGGTCTTTGACCTATCACACGTGTACATTGGGCGAAAGAAGTTATGTTGGGGCAATTGGTGAGAAATGATCTTCTTGTCATCTCTCTTTAATGCACTCACTTAATACGCACCGAGATCTTCGCCTTATCGATGGTTAACGGTGACACTACACCATTGGCAAATGGTGGTTGAAAAGTAAACCAAAAACTTTAGTCTATCATTTACATTCGGGTATTACATAACATAATTATGGAAGAAATGAAAGCAGATACATTAATCACTACAATATCAAGGTTGAGCAGTTCGAATTTAATCATCTCCTGAGTAAATCATAGTTTGGCTTCAGTGGAATTTAGAAGTTAACAAACAGCAATTCTGAAAGGTATATGCCAACATTTATTGAATGTACTAAAATAAAATTTCGAGAGATTGGGGGAGAGACGATGAGTAGAAAGCGCGTGGGTAGATAACTAGCAAACATATGCGTATGAGTTAGTTGGGCGAGGATGGACATGAGAACAGGTATAGAAAAAAGGGGAATTAATAGACGCCTCTAGACATTTCAGATAGGGGCTTGAGTCACTAAGGCGAGAATAAATACCCTTTTTATAGAGAATGACTTAGAATTAATGTTAACATTTTCATAAAGGGTCATCGTTCACACTTTGTTTATTGTTATAGCCTGGTGTTTTTTCGTGTGTAAGAAAGTATTTTTGATATCTTTTGTAGAAACTCTGCGTAGTTATGGCATTCGTCCTTCACCGCAACACCCGTAAGTGCTTTTACTGCTACTTTTATCTCCTTATATATCTTGTCACGATTGGGAACGGTATGTGTATGTGCCTTGTTTTGTTTCTTATTTCTGATAGAGAATGTAATTATAAAGTGTCATAGTGGGCAATTATGCAACTTCTCTATGCACACTTCACTTTTTCCTTGGTACATGCTTGAATTCTCGCATTCAGGTGACCTCGGTTTTGTCTCGGGAGTCTCTTTAAATTTAAATTGAAGGTATGGACAGATGTCTTACTTGAATTATTGGAGCATGGAGTTGCCCGCCTCCTTATAATGTAATGTGATTCACTATTGTAAATCCAAATTTTCCAAAACTCAATATTCAGTATTTGCAATCCCTGGGTTTTTTTTTAGATGATCTTGCTTTTTGATTTATTCCACCACCTAAATCCATTTACAACATCTTTTTGCAGTTATTAGCAGGTAGGAGTTCTCACTAATTTTCGCTAAAAACGGATTTTGTTAAGTAACTTCATTAGATCTTCCTGCTTTATAGAAATCGGCTTTTCAACCAAAGCCGATTTCTTCTATATCTTTTGTTTGATTGCGAAGTCAGCACTTTCAAATTCAATGTTCACCAGTACAGTGAGAGAAATAATTGCTGCATTAGATGAGTTGGGCCTGTTAAAAGCGTCAGTATTGAAGATACTCAGTAGAGAGGTAGGGAAATAGAGATGTTTGTTGGTAAACACTTTGCTAAACGTCTGTAATGTTAACAAGTTTACATTTGCCATTTTAAATCGTTTCTCTTCAAAAATGGAATGGTTTAGCTGCAATTTATGGGAATTTAATCTATAATTGTAGTGATGTTTATAATGTAGTAGTATAAATTTCTGCGTTTGAAATTTGTCTTTCGTAATGTTTTAATAACGTGATCCTCTCGTTGTTGTCTCTTACTAGTACTTTTGTGAAGGTGAAATTTTATGGCCATAATCATTTAAGATCACTGTAAAATGAATTTGAAATTTATCACCGGATTTTGTCTTAGAAGTCAACTCTCAAGGCGTAGCGATGCCATTTCACCAGTTGCTTATCAAAATACCTCTGCGTTGCCATCTGCTGATGATAAATCCCATATCCCCCGTAAGTTCAACTCGTCCGCTTCTCCCAATGGCAAAGCAGCAAGTAGTATTCGATCACCTGTACGTTTATCATCCTTTAACTGAAACATTCCTACACTCGTATTATAATCGATTTACTTTCACTAAGGCTGCGGAAGCTCACTTCGGATTCGATCCTAAGTCACCATCAAGACAGACTGGAACAAATGCTCGTTCAGGTTCGTGATGTTTGCCTTCAATTTATTTACATTTTATCCTAGTGTATCCTTGAATATACTCGTTACTTTTCCCAACTCGATAGGCATTAAATCACCCTCGAATCAATCCCATATTCCAACTGTAAAATCACCTTTACATCAAATCTCCAGTGGGGGCTCCCTTCGTGGCAAAGAAGAGTTACATAGTGGCTACAAGAAACCCGCTGATACGGGAGGTATGTTAGTCCGTCTTATCTGACTTAGATACTCCCTGAATGCCTAGTATTTGTCCTTTAATCCCCCTCTTGAGCATCTTCTATTCATTTCCCGGTGCTGATTTACAGAAAAGGCGAAAACTGCGCAGTTAAGACACAGTGGAACAAACCATGATGCGAGCTCTGCCTCCTTTGAGAGGGCAGCTCAATTGCTGGCTGGTAAGTTTTGTTTGTTCTCTTAGTTCGTGCCTCCCAGCTTCTACTGTGCTCGGCTCTGGCTCAGCTCCGCTTGTGCGAGCATGTGTATTCGCCTTTTAGTTTGAGTAGAAAACCAGGCACTTCTAGGGAACCATGAGAACTATGTGTCTTTCCCATCTTTTTCGCATATATTAATTATTATATTAGTTTCAGTTCCCTATTTAGGATCCTAGTTTCATTTTAGTCTTAGTGTTGTGCACATTTGTTGTTTTGTGCCGGACTAAAGGTGTCTTTTTTCAATCCCCTCTTGTTTTAGTTCAAATGCAAGCGGTGAGGAAGGTCAGCTCTAATGCTGCGGCGGCGGCGGCGGCGGCGGCGACTGCAAGTGGAAATAAAGTTGTGGACGAACATTTAATGGAGGTTAGTATTCTTTGTAGATGAAACTTTATCTTCTCTCTTAAGCACTCACATTGCTCTGCAGGTGTTTGGTCGACTTTGATTTCAGTTAAAAGGATTTCCTAATAAAAATATATTCAATGAATTTACTATTATTCAAAACGAATGCCTCTGGAAACACTCTACATTATCGTCACCCTTAAGAGTTAACGATCACGTATGACAAGTCGGAAACTACGAAATCAATACTTTATTCGATTAAGAAAGTCCGAAGTAGCTCTTAAGCCTTTATTGTTATTTCTAATACCGCTTTTGACTGGTGGGAAACTTTTTTAGATGCCGTATTGTACAAATCGTTATTTCTTTCCGAAAGATATTTCCTCGTTTACATGATTCAGATTGGTAACCATGTCGGTGGTGATTGAAAATTAACCCGGTTTGCCTTAATGCTATCTGAACTGAACTTATTTTATGGTTTAAATAGTTTGATTTTCCTAATTTGTCGAATTTATGATTGGTTTGCGTATAGCCAATAAAAGTCACACAAATGGCGAACCTAATGTGTTGGGTAATCCGTGTGAATACGACTTTGCGAAATATGATGAAATTTGCTTGGCTGACAAACAGCAAATAGGGTGGGGGGGGGGGGGGGGGGGGATGGTATGTGTTTTCTTGCAGTTTTCCGCTTTCAGACTATTATAAATTAGTTCATTTAATTATTACTTATTTGATTTAAATATTCTATGTTTACTAATAGTTATCGCCTGTGTTGCTCATTGTTTAAAATCGAACTTTTTAGAGGTTTGTAATTCATTCTCTTATGGCATGTTTTTGTTTTTTTGCACTAAATGAAAAAGGTATCTTTTTAAGAAGTCTGTAATATTTCGAAGCTGAGATTAACTTAGCTATAATTCAATCATTCAAAAAAGCCTTTTTTATTATTTCTCACGGTATATTGTCTCAGATGGACTTTTATGCACTGGCAAAGGTTTGGTATAAATACGCATTCATTAAATAATATCTTATTCAATAGCAGTTTCAAATGTTTAGGAGTTGGATTGACTTGGAGAAAGAATGGTAGAAAGATTAACTTACCATGTCCTCATTTGAGCTTTTATACCCCAAAGGCCATTTTCAAACCGCTTTCACAACTCATGTTGGGTAGAGGGGTTACACAATCTAGCTTCTCTGGTGAGAAGCTCTAAATTTGCCATTCTTTTTTATAAGCCAAATAGAACCAGCGTAGTTGATGTGTGCAGTTGGGTGTCGGTCTCCTGACCTCGGACTTGAGAGACGAAAGAAAGATTAATCTCCTACCCCACCAACTTTAATTTCAATGCTACTCTGTATGTCTGAAAACACATAACATGAGCTTCCGTCTCTCGGTTAACTTCTAATCGTAATAGATTTCTGCTTCGTTCGTGTATTAGTTCGCAGTTGAGATGGCTTAACGTTGAAAAAGGGCTTGTTTGCTTTCATCAAGTTCGTCAGCTGCACATTGTTAGTTGATCGTTGTGCTTACAATTATCTACAATGATCAAAAAGAGCCAGTACTTTAATAATATTTTCTCAAATGAGTAGACTTCAAAATACCTTTCCCAGTCCCAAGGTGGTTACTGGTGAACATTTTCCTTCAATGAATACGACAGTTTTTACTAATCTGTTCAAGGGAATTTGCATAAATCACTCTCTATTAATGCACTTAGACATTATAAATCACATGTGCTTACGTCATTAAACCATTACTTTTAGCAACACAACAAGGAGATGGAGACAATGACAATGGTTTTGGAATTATGTGAACTTCTTACCGAATTGGCTGAGCGTCGGGCCTCCGCTCTGACAGACTGTACAACCACCAAAGTGGAAGGAGAGGGAATCTCAACCCCTTCTCCACCTCCAAGGACGTCCAGCCCTTCTGGTGAGACTGATGCCCAGGCTCTGCCAACCACCAAGCTCAAATTGGTTCCAGAGGCTGAACGGTGAGCTATTCGTCCTTATTATCATTTATTCAATTGGTTTTAACGATATATTGTCGATCGATTGCTATTCTCTAGCTATTTCCATTCAAACGCGCGCTTATGGCCACAAATTAATATCCAAACTCACTTCGTCATGTTCCCTTTCTTTATTATCCGATTCTGGAAACATTATTGTTCAATTTTTCTTGCCAGAAAAATTGGAAATGCGTCTCTTTCATAATCTCTTCATTGTTCATCTTTTTTCTTACTGTGGCAGAAATTTGTTTTAAGTGCCTCTGTTCAGTAGGATCAGATGTTTCGGCAATCCAGTTATTTTGTCGATACTTTAAGATCATCTCTTATACATTGGGAGATTTTTTTAATCTGTCGTCTTAGTCGTAGAAAAAACTACTTGTTTTCGCATATTTTTATTAACACATGAAGCCTGTCGTTCACCCAATCAGCATAACTAACGTCATGGGTCACTTTCTCTTCTTTACCAAATCCAAATTAGAATTTTCTATTCAACGGTAACTTTTGTGGACATTTCGCCTTACATTCATCTTCCCAAGTTGAGACTTCATCTCCATTTTTTTCACTATTAATGAAAATTTTACGACACGCAGTAGGAGGCTTCCATTTAGCTTCGTGTTTTTTCGGAAAGCTGCGCGCTTTTTAATTGTCTCATGACTAAATGTACTGTGTTATTTCATTCTCACAGAATTTTGGGAGTAAACTGTGCCTTTTTATCAGACACAGGTTTTGAGCAATTATTATGGGTCTCACGGAGTTGCACTTTTCTTTTGCAACGTTTCCTTTTACTCTCTTTTAAGCAACTAATAGGAATATATATTTATATCAAATGGCAGATGTTTTGATATTTATCATTAGCCCTTTAGTGGACTTCAGGCTCCACAGAGGGGAAGGAACATCAGAGTGAAAAAAGGTCGAGATGGGGGGGAGGGTGGAATAGAAGAGTGTTTCAAAGATGTAAAAAAGACAGACACAAAGGTAGAAAAAGGTGAGGTAAGAAAGTGAAAGTGGGGGAATATGGCATACAGTGGTGTGATGGTAGTTAGAAGCCAGAAGTCAACTGCCGGTTAATAGACTTTTTTGCCGTATGAGCATACGTTGCCCAGGGTGCACCACGTGCAGGTAAGTCTATCGCACACCCCACTAATAGGAATAAAACAGCATAACCGTCACCACCTCGCTCTTATTGTATGGAGAAATAGCTTTATGAACTGTGCATGAATTTTCTCCACTTTATCAATCAGAATTAGCCATTTCGGTCGACCGCTCCGGCCATTGAGTTTACACAGTGTAGAAATCGAGATCGTGGCCTCTGTTATTCCAAACAAGCACTCTAACCGTTTTTGAAACTACTTTTCATCGAATAGGAATGGCTTCCTGGCCACTATTTCCTTATCTTCTATCAAAAACTTGAATTTTTTAATAATTCCTCACTTATTTCCATTCGTCTTGAGCATTACGCTAAGACTTTAATGGAGTAGTGAATGGGAAAGCTATTCTGTGCTTTAAGTTTATTTTTTTCCTATTGTCTTTCACTTGAGTAAACTACGTAATTTTTCCAAGTTTTTTTTCACGGACGCGCATTCTTTGATCCAACTCTGGCCTTATACTTGGTATAATTAGCATTTAACGACTTTTTTACTAACAGAATCGTTGAACAACTGGTGTTGTATCGACGCATTCTCTACTATCTGGAATATGTGTTTGGTCAAGTGAAGAAAGCTGTGGAAGAAAATCGTATGCAACCCACAACAACCGCCAAAAAGCGTAAGTCCTCTCACTCAGCAATGACTCATCTCGCCTTCACTAGCCAAATTATCCATCATTCTTGCCCTTGCACAGGTTTACAAGACTGCAACGCACTTTACCACCGATGCTTTATCCGACTTTGTCAGCTTCGGAGACTTTCAAGGCGAGAAGACCTCCTGGAACCCACTGGCCGACATCTCTCTCGAATTACTGCCAACAGACTCATCTTCAACTATGCTCTGGATCAGTGCTTTGCCGCTGAAATGGATGATTATATTGGGGAACTCGGACTGGCAAGTTTCACTATAATTCCCATCTATCATGAATAGTGTAAAGGAGCCAGAAAAAACAAGTTAACTACTCCAAGTATTTATCGATAGATAGATGGAGATGGATGGGCATGCGAATATTATATAGAAAGCGTGGACAATGGTGAGAAGAGGTACATCAAATCATACTAGGAAGGCGTGGTGAAGGTAACTCATATAGAAATCCACTAATAAGATTTAGTCAGGTTTTGAAGCAGATACTAACTCCTACTATTACAGCTGCAGTAGTGTGGTTTGTGCTTTCACTTCAGAAACCAAAATGGCAGAGTTTTGGATAGCGATTCGAAGTCAGCCATTGCTCAATTTCGATTTTCACCAAAGTTGACGGCTTGAAATTTTATGTTCCTATCGAATAGGCCCGTACTTTAAATTTAAGCTTTCACAGTCATTTCCATCTGTTAAATTCAATGACCATGTTTAAGTGTAAGTGTTGCGCAGTTGCTAACTAGTTTCGACGTTTCTTGGATCAAAATTCACTCTAATTATGGCCTCTAATACTTTGATTTACGATTTATTAGTTCTATCAAACTCCCTTGGCACAATTAGTCATTTGAATGAAATTCTGCAATTAGGAGGATACTTTGCAGTAAGTCATTCCGCGATTAGAGTTGTTTATCTCAATATATGGGATTATTTAGTAGTCAGTTCGGAGAATCGGTTCAATAAATTTCCTAGTGGTAAGTAAAATTTTAAAAATATCGTCTGTCGTAAGTTGTATTCATCTATGAACTCAGAGGTTGAACTTCCTTATCCTCAGTATATCCTCTTTACGTGCAACGAGTGACCATCGTAATATTTGAATTAGATGTTTCGAAATTTTTCGGCAATGTTGCCTTTGAAACGAAATGATACATTTAACGCTTAAATCTATTGCTTATTATCACCTGTCATATATTCTCGTATATCTTTAAAATTTGGAACAGGCATTTTCGAGTCTGAGATTAAGGAGTAATGGTTCTTTCGTAAAGATCTTTAACAGTTTTAAATTTCAATAAACTCAGCTGTACTGTCGGAAGCAAAATCTACATAAAACGTCGTTTAGATGAAGTAAGTTGGAATGAAGAAGGCTATGATAGTAAGGAAGTCGGAAAGAGGGAAACATGAGAAATAAGCTGTAGTATGGTAAATTGAAGCGGCTCATCTCGATCCCTATTGAGTTGTGGTAGAGTATATGTCGGATGCTAGATTCACATTAGCCGTCAGTACACCCTTATTGGTCTGTTTGCTGGCAATTGGTGCCCTGTTTTCTTGTAATATTGGTAGGTTAACTTTCTTCCACTTCCAACTTGCTTGCAGTGGTATACGTTGTCTATTTTGGAGTTTTTTTTCAACTTTTTAGGCAATTCAGCGTTATCGTGCTGCAATAATCCTAATTCACGGTCTGTGCCAACATGCAACCACAGATCAGGATAAGTCCCTTCTCGCCGAATGTCTGCGAATGGTCCAAAATCGTCACGCCACTCTCTTCAATTATGTAGCCTCCGGTGGTTTTGCAGGTGCTTTAGGCAGTGGCCAAGAAGGAGATGCACCAGAACCCCTCCAACAACATCAACAACCTTCCATACCTTCCGACAACCCTACAGCAGTTGACTGCTTCTCCTGGTGATTATTAGCTCAAGATTCACCCCACTCTATCCCTCCCTATCTGGCACTGTCTTCTCTTCGACTTACTCTACATGTCTTTATTGAATGTACATAATCGGTAGATAGTTACAATTTTTCTGGTAGTGGTGGTGATGATGATGATGGAATTGGGCTAAATTTAATCCTCTTTGCGCGTCTTATACGCTTTTCATATTTCCCTTCTTCCATTGCAATATATACTCCGTGCTTTTCATTTGCTTGCCATTGTGCAGCATATTTTTAACTGTGTCATTTGCACTCACATTATAAAACTTATTTTCTTCATAATTTTCAATTTATTTAGTTTTATTATGATAGTGATGGTTGATTTCTCAAGCCTGTAGCGATGAGTACTTTTAAATATTTTAGTTCTATCTCATGAGGAACTCTATGACTAAATTTAACCAGTGCACTCAGCCATTCAATGCACTCTTTTTTTGCCGGTGGCCGACAATGTCATAACTGATTGTCATCTCCATTTGCTGCGATACATATTATGTTGCTCATCCAAAGGTTCTAGTGCTGAAGAATGGCGGAATATTTTTTTCTCTCTAACATTAAGGCGACTTCTCTAAGTGCCTCTCCTATGGCTGCATTGTAGGCGTTCTTCATTCCCTAGGTGGGCAATTCATTCACCCATGCTTCTATTAATCAGTGTGGCTGATCGTTTTGATCAGTTCTTTTTACATAGATTTATTCATAATGGCGAGACTAATTGTTGCAATGGCTTATGATGTGGTCTTCAAACTCCCAGTGCCAAGTATTCCATGGATCTTTTGATAGTGTCTTCTAGTTGAACCCAGCTGTGGGATTTGAAGCGAGACTTTAGAAGTTAACTGAAAATGCCTATCTATACTGGAGCTCATTTGTTCAGAAAAGATATAGATCTTGAAATCTGCCGGTCAGTTGATGGAATTGCTTAGTGTCAAATTTATTGGTGGGACAATATTTTTCGGTTGCAGTTATATTTTGCATCGAGATAGATGACGAAACAATGATGGGGAGAACGAATTCAAATGGGTTAGCAAGGCAATGCAGAGATGCATAGAGCCCATTTCTAAGGCGAATTCAACGTCTGCGCAGGAACATCGCTTGCCGGAGTGTGCTCGTCACTCCTAGAATCGCTTTCGTGTTTCCTATTCGATTCGGGGAAAAAAAGGTAAATGCTAAACCATTATAGGAAAGACTGTTCGGTGTACTTAAAGCGAAAACATTACCAATATTTCCACCTCAATGCTTTGGTTTTCATGAAATCATTCCTTGATATGGTTACGAAAATACCAAAAAAATAGATAACTTGGAAGACGGTGAATGACATGGATTTGAAATCCTATGTGGGTGATTATTTTCATGAATTTTGAGTTACGAGGAATGGGTGACATCATCTACACTCGTATTGACTGACTGTCCTACTTAAGAAATGGCAGACAAGAGGAAAGTGAATTATGCCAGGTTTTTGCAGATCTCCAAACACTCAAAACCCGGCCAGACTAACTTACCATTCAAGATTGATGGAAATCAGTTTCATTATAAACAAAATCCGGGAAGTTTGAAATTCGCATCAAGGAAAATGTGCCTATAACTAATTGGTTGTTTGGTAAAATGGCAATAAATGACCTCACTAACCTCCAATAAGTACGGTTTGTGAGGAACGCAACATTTATTTATCTCAAATGGCAGGCGTTTTGATAGCTATCATTAGCCATTTAGCTGACTTCGGGCTTCACAGAGGGAAGGTTCATCAAAGAAGCAGAAAGTCGATGGGTGGGGAATAGAAGAGCGATTCACAGATGTAAAAGAGGCAAACATAAAGGTAGGGGAAAAGGTAAGATGAGTACTGTGAAGGGGTCAAATATGACAAGCAGTTGGGCCATAGTATTTTGAAGTGAGAAGTCAACTGCCGGTTAATAGACTTTTTTGCCGTATGAATATACGTTGCCCAGGGTGCACCACGTGGAGATAAGTCTATCGC